TGGAATCCCCTCAGAAGAAGTGCGAGTAGCCCAGGATGAGTGCGAGTGGAATACAGAATACAGAATCTGGAAAATTCCACTTCTGCAGGAACGGGGGGAGGCCTTTTGTTGTAGAATTTAAAAGTAAGGTGAAAAACTTCATCTACCACTGTCTTCTTGTGGTCTATAAGAAGGTGATGACACAAATTTCAGAGTTGAGGCTGTCGCAAAAACTTCAAATTTTTAAAAACAAAAAATAATAGAGAGAGGGCAGTGGAGAATTTGTTGCTCTCGTCCGGCTGATGATGACGCATGCACCTTCACAAGAGATTCGAGTCCAAACATATTACATTTATAAATATCGTCGAGTTCTAATTCCACAAGCCTTTAAAAACCTTTTTAATTCATTTGTCAAATGATAAATAGGAATTATACATGGGACACCAAAAATTAAAATGATAAGGAAATCAGTAAATTATTAAATATTTAGAAAATATGCATTTTATTATCATACAAACATTCTACGATATGCAATAATCATTTGTCTTTATTGCATATTTGCCACTGCATGATCTTCCCGCAATTTTGTTCACTTCTCCGAATCTTTGGCGGGTGTTAAGTTATACACGTTTAAGCATGTTCCTGTACATTAATTTCACCATCCCGTCCAGAATGGTGGAATTGCGAATCGTGCCCCTCCTACGTTGTATTTTCCAAAAACAGCCTGATGGCATTTGGCACTGCCCAAATCACAGGAAACAAGGCCCTTCTCACAGTTCGTATTCCCCTCGCAGCCATCGAGATAGTCCTTACATCGAGGGTTAGTCCGACACCATTCCAGACTTTCTGGAACTTGTCGGAAGCCGAAGTTCAAAGGCCCACCCCAGCCGCCTCCTTTACCTGGAGCAACAGGCGAGCTGAAAAAAATTTGCAAAAACACGTCTCAAAAATTTCGCTTACAATGAAACCTATTCCAAGCTACGCCAGGATTTTTAAGCGAGTTAAACTCCGTTTCACGAAAGATGATTTTACCGCGAAACGAAAAGAACACGGTATTCTCATGCTTCTTACGGTGGCAGTGAAATCATCCATCGAGTTTATATCCAACCAAAAAATCAATCACATGGTGCTTCCGTGTGCTTTGCATGGCCCCAAGAAAGAAAATACTTGGGACATAAATAGTTCCATTTTTTAGTAAATTTTCTGCTCCACCATTTGTGACCTTTGGCCAAAATTTTTTTTCCACAAATGCATAAGTGCCGTGTGATTCATAATTTTCATCCAGGTTTTTTTTATATAATTCACTAAAAATCCAGGTGTAGCTTGGAGTCTCCAAATTATTTGGAGTGGACGTTCATTAGAAAATCAGTTGGCAGTGAAATGCCATAACTTTTTTATTAGTAAAACGTACGGGGCAGCATATGAATTTAGGTCAGAAACATGTTATGTTTCTGACCACCAAAAATTCAACCACAAAAAATTACCCTGGTGAAAACTAGGTTTCATGCGTTTTACCGTACTTTAGCTTTAATATGTCACGTGACCGCGAGGGGGGGTAATGCATTAATCATCATTGGTCACCAAGTGGGGGAGGCGGTAAAAATTGTCCAAAAATCGATCACGTGATTTATAGACGCTCCCTAATCCGTCGCCTTATTGCGTCCGATTTGATCGGATCGGGTATATTGTCAAATAAAAAAACCGATCGGATAATTTTTTTTCAATTCTTAAAAACGCTTTTGGGTATTATAATAATAATAGGAAACTTACCATCCGCCGTATATGATGAAAGGCATCTGCCTAGATTTCCGGTTACTTTGAACATTTGCATTTTCGGATTTTAGCCCGATTGCTAAGGATTTATTTTAACGTTGCTAAGATAATTTTTTAACGTTCCTAAGAAAGTTTTTTAACGTTGCTAAAGAATTTTTTAACGTTGCTAACAAAATTTTTTAACGTTACGAAGGAAATTTTTTAACGTTACGTCATAACAGAAATCATAACAGAAATCATAACCGAAATCATAACCGTAATCATAACCGAAACGATAACCGAAATCATAACCGAAATGATAACCGAAACGATAACCGAAATCATAACCGAAATGATAACCAAAATCATAACCGAAATCATAACCGAAATCATAACCGAAATCATAACCGAAATCATAACCGAAATCATAACAGAAATCATAACCGTAATCATAACCGAAATGATAACCAAAATCATAACCGAAATCATAACCGAAATCATAACCTAAATCATAACAGAAATCATAACCGAAATCATAACAGAAATCATAACCGAAATCATAACCGTAACCATAACCTAAATCATAACCTAAATCATAACCTAAATCATAACCGAAATCATAACCTAAATCATAACCTAAATCATAACCGAAATCATAACCAAAATCATAACCAAAATCATAACCTAAATCATAACCTAAATCATAACCGTAATCATAACCGAAATCATAACCGTAACCATAACCGAAATCATAACCGAAATCACAACCGTAACCATAACCGAAATCATAACCGAAATCAGAAATCTTATCTGTGCTGTGATTGGTGGAGCCAGGAAGCCGACAACCAATCAGAATGCAGGAATGTCACGGAAAATTTCACGGGACGGACTTTTCGAAATTATAATATAGATTACAATTATTTCTAATATCAACTTAACCAATTTAACAAACAGAAATCAAGTTTAAATGCCGATAAGAAATTATTATCCACTTTTTACATATGGTTCCCGCGCTGTTACATATATATTATTCATTTTTATATTTATGTACAAGGCACATAAATATGTATATGCAGGATAATTCGATGCATTTACATATGCCACCTTATGGATTAAATGAATAAAAAAAATTTGAAAGTTATAGCATCTACGCTACTTTTTTGTAGCAGGTTTGCTTTTTCTCCTCATCAGATGCAAATAGCTCTCCACACCCTTAGCATGGGCAGATTGTGTCTATGTAAATGTCAGACCCATTAATTTTGTCGTAAGTTATTGGCACGAGTGTTCACACGCAAAAATGGGTATTTTAATCTGGTCGCACTAAAATAATGGTGGGACTTACGCACAAAATAATATAAATATAGATATGGATAGACAGTAATGTTAGTATTAGATAGGTATGTAGATATTACGCTTTAATTGAATCATGTTCAAGGTTCCATTTAATTAAAAAAATAAAATGTAGAACAACTCCCCTAGAAATTAATTCAGAAGGTTGACTAACAATGCGATGGCGTGAAGTGTAACCCTCCGAATTGACTGAAATTTCGAAATTACGTTGTGCATGTCAATACAACCAACGTTTCTTCAGGCAGATTGTGCGATGGTCAGAATTTGGCAAATTATTTTAGGGCAAAGTTGAAAAATATGCGAATTTTTTCACAGAAAGAGAATGGAAGTTGAGTTCGCTTTCTCCGCCTGGTAAAATTCGCCCGTTTTTCAACTTTGAACTCAAATATTTTGGCAAATTCTGACAATCGCAAAAACCGCCTCAAGAAACGTTGGTTGTATTGACATGGACCACGTAATTTCAAAATTTTAACCAAATCTAGGGGTTACACTTCACACCATCGCATTGTAAGTAGGTTTTACTAACTTTAAGGTCAATAAAATTTAATTATAGGCTTCATCCTGGGTAATATTTTACACATGCATGATCCTAACTGTCCCGATTGTCATCTATATTATAAGCTGGAAATGTTTGTCTGCAACGGAAGTGAAAGTAAATGTTCCGCAACGGAAGTGAAAGTGGAGAAAGTCAAGTTTCGAATGGCGCGAAAATTCAAAATAAATTCAAAATTTAAAAATTAAAAGTCAGATTTTGGGGGTTTTCTGATGGTGGTTATCTGGGAATGGTTGTCTGATGGTTATCTGGGAGTCGTTGTCTGATGGTTATCTGGGAGTGGTTGTCTGATGGTTATCTGGGAGTGGTTGTCTGATGGTTATCTGGGAGTGGTTGTCTGATGGTTATCTGGAGTGGTTGTCTGATGGTTATCTGGGAGTGGTTATCGTGGGAGTGGTTTCCTGATGGTGGTTATGTTGGTGGTTATGTAAAAATCAAGGGTGCTTATCTTATAGTTGACATATTTGTTGTCGTGACCACATTACTTTAAAGTAAAATAAAGTAAAGTAAAAGTGAAGTGGAAGTCAGTTACGAGTATGCTGAGTTGGCCACTTTACTTTAAACTAAAGTAAAGTAAAAGTGAGGTGGAAGTCAGTTACGAGTATGCTGGGTTGGCCACTTTACTTTAAACTAAAGTAAAGTAAAGTTAAAGTGTGGTGGAAGTCAGTTACGAGTATGCTGGGTTGGCCACTTTACTTTAAACTAAAGTAAAGTAAAGTGAAAGTGAAGTGGAAGTCAGTCACGGGTATGCTGGGTTGGCCACTTTACTTTAAACTAAAGTAAAGTAAAGTGAAAGTGAAGTGGAAGTCAGTTACGAGTATGCTGGGTTGGCCACTTTACTTTAAACTAAAGTAAAGTAAAGTGAAAGTGAAGTGGAAGTCAGTCACGGGTATGCTGGGTTGGCCACTTTACTTTAAACTAAAGTAAAGTAAAGTTAAAGTGAGGTGGAAGTCAGTTACGAGTATGCTGGGTTGGCCACTTTACTTTAAACTAAAGTAAAGTAAAGTGAAAGTGAAGTGGAAGTCAGTCACGGGTATGCTGGGTTGGCCACTTTAATTTAAAGTAAAGTAAAGTTAAAGTGAAGTGGAAGGTGGTAACGGGTTGGTCACTTTAAAGTAAAGTAAAGAGTGAAGTGTAACAGTTATGTATACCCGTGGCTGACTTCTAATTCACTTCCAGGGCACTTCGCAGTGAAGTAGCCAAGACAACCAGCTCAAGATACCTACCATGACACATTTAATTTTGTTTAATTCACTAATTTCCAGAGACATTTCATTTAGCTTATTTTGAATTTACGCGTCATTCGAAAGTATCTTTACTATCACTTTCGCTGAGGAACATTTACTTTTACTTCGTTGCCGGCAGACATTTGCAGCTAATAATTCTCGCTGGCCCGGCGGGAGACGGGCTTATTCGCTAGTACATACATATTACATTATTGAATTAATAGTTAATTAGCAAGTCGGTTACTCATTTATGCACAACACACTTTGCATAAATGAAATTCCTGCATAAATTAAACATGCATAAAAAAATCCCTCTCTCCACAAACTTCGATTGCCCTTCTAATAAGCTTGACGTTACTTGACAAGTATGAATACGTCTTCTTGACCCGTAAAAGGCGGGGATAAGCTTTACACAAGCGGAAAAATGAGACATATTTCTTTAAACTGGGTACACCAACGCTTGTAACTTTAAGACCGGCTAAGTAATCAGGCCATTTGATATTAAGTCTTCGTGTCCTCTTTTCCATGTTGAAATTTGCCTGCAGCCCGTCTAAAATTTCGCCAAAATTGTGCGCCAGGACGACCTGTTCGTAGTACCGGTTCACCGTCTGTTCCGAAACATATGTAGCTGCACTACGAACTGCGATTTCGTACGATTCAAGCGTGTCTGTGGGCTGAAATGGAATTTTGTTCGGTTTGTGCTGCATTTCTTGGGGTGAAAGGGTGCTGAAAGGGGACTTGAAATCCCGGATAAGTTCCTGAATGTAATAAAAAAACAAGGTATGTACAACCGGAGTTATCAACAGTGAGGAAATATATGTAAACGGTGTTGATTTAATTCGTCCCGCTGGTTTTATGGTAACCAAACACACACAAACAAACATTCATTCCGAGCACCCGGAGGAAGAGCATCTCTCCTCGCTCTTCTCTCCGGTCTTGTAAATTGCTTGAAGAAGGTTCCTGGCTACCTTTGAAAAGTCACGTTGTGTAACAACCAACTGTAGACTTTGTCGTGATTCCCCGACATTGTTACCCCCTAGGACCCCACTGTCCCCTGACCTCAACTAACCTAGGCCTTCCAAGTTGTGTCAAACATCATCTCACCTCATCATCGTCATCTACTTTGGATTCAGGACCAGCACCAGGTTAAGTTTTTAAGGTTTTAAGTTTCTAAATTAGACTTAAGTTAGCATTAATTTTTATTACTTTTAAATGGCTCCAACGTCATTAAAAAAAGTCAGTAGAAACTCTAAAGCTATATGTAAAAAATCAGTTAGTAACAAAAAATCCAAAAGCTCATGTGTTGTTTGCTTAAAGTCAGACCGCAGAAAATTAGGCTTATTCTGTAGCTCATGCGGATTATATTATCATAAGGTCTGTATTAATATTAATCATAGTGAATATTCATTCCTTATCGACTCGGATGAATTTAAATGTAGCTCATGTAAATTTTTAGATTTTACGCATTCATCTCGTGGTTTTCATATCTCAAACGACTGTAATGCATGTCTGAAAACTCATAAAACTAAGATAATAATCACGTGCATATTTTGTGGAAAGCAATACCACCGTGCTTGTATTATAAATCATACGACTACTGTTAAAAGAAATTAAAAGGGGAAGCTGGCAGTGTATGTCTTGCATTTTTCCGATTAGTCAAATTGAAGACAATGACCCGGACGACTTTTACACTGGAAATAGTTTGTCTGACCATATTAGTTTATCCATTCCCTATAATATTCCCAGCTTACCAAAAGGTCTTAAAATTATTCACTTAAATGTAAATGGTCTTTACAGTAAAATTGACCAACTTCAATATTTGCTTAATTACTTAGGAGCTGATATTTGTTTAATAGCAGAGACACATTTAAATTTGGACGAAGATTACCCTGGTCTTGATATTCCTGGATATCGGTTTGTAAGACAAGACAGGGAAAGATTTTGGGGAGGATTGCTTGTATTCTATAAAGAACAGCTCTCCATAACCGTACTTGACACTCCACCATTTACATACGAAACAGAATCTCTAGCCCTAGTTCTAAAACTCCCTTTCTCAAGTCCATTTCTTATCTCATGTATATATAGACGACCAGACAGTAAAAATCTGGCATGCTTTTTCCCAGAATTGAATCTCTTTTTGTCCAAAATCTCTGACTACTCGTCAATATATAAGGAATCGTACATATTTGAGGGTTTTAACATTGATCTCTTAGTTAAATCTTCAATTGGACAAAAATTGATTGGGGGATTACAAGAGTATGGGTATTGTCAACTAATAACTGAACCTACCCATCACACTAAAAATTCACATACACTCATTGATCACATTTACTCTAACTCAGTTGAATTCTCTTTAAAATCAGGAGTTTTCACTTCTGGTATCTCTAATCATGATATTATTTATTTAGTTAGAAAAAGGCAACGACAATTCTACCATGTAAAAACAATTCGTAGCCGAAATTTTAAACAATTCGATGGGGAAGCATTCTCCAAGGACATCCGAACTTTTCCTTGGCATAACTTTTTTCCCCTAAAGACAATTGACGATCAAGTAAACTTTGTTGAATCCTCACTTTCTTCCATTTTAAATTGTCATGCACCTTCGGTTACAAAAACTATTCGAGCCAAACGCTCGGCTTGGTTAAGTGAGGACGTTAAAAAGCAAATGCGTGCTCGTGATAATTTAAAGAGACAATTTAACCAATCTAAATGCCCAGTACTTTTCAAAAAGTACCAGGCACTGAGAAATGCAATAAACATTGCGTGTAGGAAAAATAAACAACGACATTTTCACGACCTTTTCAACAAATCTAACGAATCCAAAGACTTATGGTTTGCATACAAGCAACTCACAAGTACAAACTATAAGTCCACAAAAATTGACCAATTACAAGTGGACGACGAACTAACTAATTGTCCTAAAAAAATCTGTAAAGCCATTGCCGAATCTGTAATTATTAAACCGGAGACTTTGGACAACCTTGACATCCCTCAGTTACCTTCGTCTGAGGAAATTACTCCCATTTTTCCACTTGAAGTAAACAAAACCATTCGTAAAATGAAACCAAAAAAGTCCCCTGGCATATCTGACATCCCCACCCGCATTATAAAAAAATTCCCTGATGAACTTTCTCCCATACTTTCAGCTCTATTTAATAATAGTTTACACATGGGGAGGTTTCCATCTCAATGGAAAACAGCTTTAGTCACTCCACTCTTTAAAGTTGGGGGCACAAAAACGGATCCGAACCGTCCGATATCAGTTCTACCGTTTTTCAGTAAGGTTTATGAACACATATTAACATTTAGAATCACAACAATATGCACGAAAAAAAAACTTATTTCAGAATCACAATTTGGGTTCAGAAGTAAGCACTCTACGTTCCATGCACTAACTCATTTGACTCAAAAAATTTATGACACACTTGAAAAACGCAATTACACACTAGTTTTATATTTTGACTTGGTTCGTGCTTTTGATTCGATATCCCACAAGCTTTTAATTGATAAATTGCGTCACATTTATCATTTCCCAGAATACCTTATAGTCATAATTTCGGATTACCTGAAAAACAGACACATTAAAATTAAACTAGGGAACTTTATATCTGACTCTTTCCCTATATATGCATCTGTCCCCCAAGGGTCAAAAATTGGACCAATTCTATTTAATTTATATGTAAACGACGGCGTTGACCAACTTGAAGGTCACAAGGATGTATTTGCTGATGATATTTCGTCATTAGTGTCCCATAAAAACTTTGACACACTTCAAAAAATAGCAATTGAAAGGATTGAAATCCTGCATGCATGGTGTAACTTAAACTGCATGAAAATAAACTGGACTAAGTCCCATTTTATGATTTTTAGAAATAGTCGCACGAAAAAATACCCCATTTGGATTCAATAAAAACGGTAAATTTTGAAATAACCAGGGTCTCTGAATTTAAATATTTAGGGGTCTGGTTAGATGAGGAGTTAAGGTTCGACGTGCATGCAGATAAAATTATTAACAAAATTACACCTCGTATTCATTATCTGCTGAAACTCAAAAGGAAAATTCCTACCGATAAGTTTCATCTAATCTTCAACGCAATTGTAATGTCTTGTCTTGAATATGGTATTCAAATATGGGCTGGATCTTCCAGTACCACTTTAACACGCGTCCAAAAAGTCGTAAATAACTGTCTCAGATCTTGGGTTTCTCCACGTATTATTAACATAAATGTATTATATGAAATGTTAAATTTACTTAAGTTAGATGAGTACCCAAACTACTATCTTTCCCTTTTTGCTAAAAGTTTTACAAATGATTATAAAATATATATTCCTAAATTACTTCAAAATTTTGTTACTATTCATGGATCGGTTCATGAAACAAGGTCCACAAATTGTTTCGTTATTCCACCACACAAAACTGTGCTCTTTGAAAAAAGTGTTAAATATAGGTTAATAAAATTTTGGAATGAACTACCAAATGAAATTAAAGATGAAAAAAATCTTGATGTCTTCAAACTCAAGTTGACGGCGTATATTTTAAAAAGGAGATGTTAATCTTAAGCTTGAAATTAAATATACTACTAATTAAGTATTTAGTTAAATGTCAATGGTTGGAAATCAGCATGTTATCACGTTGTTACCTTTTGACAATAAAGACTTATTATTATTATAAACATATACGCAGACACAAACTTGCGAAAACGACAAAAGAACAGAGTTAAGGGCATGATTTGTATACATTGTGGAAAGACTATATTTTATAAAAAAAAATGATCTCAAAGTTCTCATCATTTTTGAGGGTCAAATATTTAAAGAGAAATTGGAACGAATTAAATCAAAACCCTTTATATTGATGTTAATTAGACAGTTTAAGTCAAAGTTATTGGGAGCAATGGGCCCACATTTGAGAAATTTGATATGGGGAAAATAAAAATAGTACATCGGAAAACAACAATTTTTAGACCACCCACTGGCCAACCCGTTCATAATTTTACTCGTGCCAAGCTGAAGACGGGTAAGGTACATACATGCGGCGCAAAACCGCCATCTCAAATTTTTGATTACGTAATGTATGCATGATCCCTCACAAGGCTTGTAGACTAATAGTCGACGACTATCGTATAGTGTTAGGTAAATAAGTACAAAACCATATTTTTCAAAACCGAATTTTAAAACAAGAAATATCTTTTCGACCAACTATGAACTTCAGAATAAACAGACAGACAAAATGACAATGATGGTCGATACGCCCACTTTTAATGAACTTAGGGTAAAATGCATACCTTCATCTTCTCACGAGTAACGTGACGATTTTCGACAATAGCAGGAGCTACCTGTGCACATTATCATGACGTAATCGTAAATTATCAATGTCGTAAGTTCTTATTTAACATTAAATCCATTTACCTTTGGGATTTCGTCTTTTTCTTTATCGTCATCTTCATCTTCACTACGATAGTCGTTAGCATCAGGCTAGAATTTAATATAAAGCACAAATAGGTACGTGGTGTGCATAAAATTTCTAAAGCATGAAAAATTAGCTAAAATTGAAGTAGAAAACTAATACGAAATTATTTGCTATCAAATTTACCTCAGTATCTTCAACTTTTAACCTTTTATGGTTTGGGACGAACGTGTCATCGGTGTCATCGTTTCCGTCATCAGTTGGCTCCACTTTTACGGAAAATTCTTCTTCGTCAATGCCTCGTTCGGTTAAAAATGCGTTCTCAAGGTGACCGATGTCATCTCGAAAGGTGGACAATTCTAGAATATGGGCAACATTCAGTAACAACGCAGAATGGAGGTCTCCCAGCGTATGTTGACTGGTTTTGACTATTAAATAAATAGTGTCAATCAGTCCCAAATCTAAATAATATAAAACTTGAAGAAGACTCAAATTCCTAATGGGAACGTTTGGTAGAGATATTTGCATCCGAAGAGGAGAAAAGGTCGACAAGTTTTACACTGTCCAAATTCCCTATGTGTTTTTTCCTCTTCAGATGCAAATAAGTATCCCTACCAAAAATTTGATTTTGATTTGAACAAATTTCATATTCAACAAATTACGATGGAATCACTGGCGGAAATAGGGGTACGCAGGGTACGTCCCACGTATCGGCCCCCGCCAGACGACGGCCCCCGGCCTTCGAAGGGTCGGGGCCGTACATATATTACAAAGTCGGAGGCCCGCCAGCCGACGTTGTAATATACGTACTACTCAAATTCTTTTAAAAATAAATACAATAATTTCCAGAGAAACTCAACTGTGTGATAACCACTGTGGGATGATAATAGAGCTGTGCATGGGCCCGATTTTTAAAAACCTACTCCGAGCAAATTTGCGGGGCCTTTTAAGATGGAATCTTGGTAGTTAATGGCAACACATTTGGGTGGAAAACACCCCCACCGGCCAGCCACTTGATCGATCATGCCCATCTACGAACTCATCCTTCATTTTTACCCGAAGATGAAGCATGCAAAATTTCAATTCGATAGCTTTTGTTTAACGGGAGTTATCCTGCCTAAAGACGGACGGACAGACGGACGGACATCTTGACAAATCTATAAGGCCATCTTAAAAGGCCTAAAACCCAGCCCGCCCAAAACCCTACTGGAAAAATCCCTAACCGCCCGGCCCGACTGGATTTTTCTGGGCAAAAAAACCCGGCCCGTCCAAAACCTTATAGGGTAGGGTCGGTTAGGGGTTTTTAGGGTAAAACCGACCCTATACACAGCTGTAGATAATAATGCTATAATATTATTAATGCTTCAGAAATATGGGACACGAGAATTGTTTTTTCTAAAATGCACCAAATAATTATTTTTCCATAAAATTGGCATGAAATAATTTCCACTAATCCCCAATTTTTATAACAACTATTCTCCCAAATTGTTTTTATAAAATGCTATAAAACAAACGAAATATTTTTAATTTTTACAATTTTCTGAAATTATGTATATATTTCTAATTTGTACAAACTTTTTATAATATGCAAATTGTTTAAATTACTGTGTTCAATTATTTTTAATTGTGCACATCCTGTTTCTAGATTCTCTGATTTTTGAAAATTTGTAATTTGTGTCAAAATTTGTTTTTAGAAATTATGAAAATTTCCCTTGGCATGGAGTAACGATTTTTTTTAATTACTTGTAAAAAATTTGAAATTGTGCAAATTATTTGAAATTTCAACATTTGGAAAATTATCTAAAATCCGACAATCGAATTTACATTAAGATCAGTTTTATACACTCGAATTCCGGTTTTGCGAAACAAATGGTTTTAGGCTTATCGCAAACACTTTTTTTTGCAAAACCTGGATTTAATAATTTATTAAATTAGTAAATTTTTAATTTTTTTAAAATTAAATGTTATATTAATGAAATGTTAATTGCTATATTAATATTAAATGTGCTACGACCACACACTATGTCGGAGCTAATAATTAATATTTCTCACTGTTGGGATAAGACTTTGTGGTTCTGAATTATCTTAGATATTGCTAACTTTGGAATCCCAAATTTATACACTTAACTGGCCCTGGCACACCCGCGACCCAGATGGAAGGAGATCCAGATGCAGAGCGAGAGAGAGATACGTGTTGCACTGGAGAATGCCAAGGAGGACCGTGGAGGAAAGTAAATCTTGCAAAATTTGTCCTGTCCCGGTTTTGGCGTGTTTGGAAAGTAATTGCTCTTCAGACATATCTAAGTATTTTATGGAAATATGAAATTCAAGCTTCAGAATTATTTCTTATGGGGAATGAAAATTACTGCGTCATATATGGAAATTTCCTTATTGTAAACTAGCGTATTAGCCCGTCTCTCGCCGGGCGCGAGGCAGAATTAAAAGCTGTGAATGTCTGTCGGCAAAGGACGTGAAAGTAAAGAAAGTCACGTGGCACGTAAATGATACGTAAATTCAACATAAATTAAATTCAGAAAATTAAATGTCTCATGGTAGTTGTCTTGGGTGGTTAACATTTAATTATTTAATCAGACTTTTAATTATTTTGTAGTTAGTTTTTTTTTAATTTTTGTGCCACTCGAAACTTAACTTTCTCCACTTTCACTTCCGTTTCGGAAAATTACTTTCACTTCCGTTGCAGACAAACATTTCCAGCTTATAATATAGATGACTTGGAATAATATCCTTACCTTGCAATCGTACTTATAATTTGACGTTATTGAAATTCCAACTAAATTAATAATACTACACACTCACAAAAAGGAAACTGCAAACTTTGCAACTGTAGAAAAAATCAAATTTGTTGTGGTTATTGAAATTCTTAAAATATTGAAACTTTCTAGCGTAAAACTAAATATACAAATACTTTGTAGGGTTAACGAAGGGTTCGTGGATTTCATTATTTTCCACGCATCGCTATTACAAAGGATTGTTGTCTTGTTAAATTTAGCCGGAATGGAATGCGACCCTTTCTCATGGCTGATTATTTTACCCATGCGGGGCCATGCATAAATTACGTAGCGCAAGAGGGGGGGGGGTGGGTGGCCTAAGGCTACAAAAATTATATAGTGCTTATGTTACGTAGGGGGGTAGGGGGAGTCTAGAAAATCTGGACTTTTGCCTTACCTATTTAATTTATGGATCGCCCCTTCTTAGACAAGGATATCGTCGTCACTTGTTTGACTATTGTTGAAATATGCATTATTTACAACTCTTCCCGCATCAATAGTTATATCCAGCCCGGGTAAAAATAAAACATGCTTCTTGTAGATAATAGCACACCCGTTCATATTTGCTGCTCGATTTATGTGTGATTTTAAACGTGGCTATTGAAAATCTGAATGAATCCGAAGGACAAGTAAATAATTGATTTACAGGAACTTTGCCTGTATCTATCAGACGAGCTAAATATTTACCTCCGCTGAAAAAACTGAACACGGTAAACCAATTTTTGTGTAAAAGTTATGAAACACGTATTGAATTTACATTTTGTGTAAAATTCTAAAGAAACTTGTCGTGTTAAGTAAATGCTGGATTATAATTTCATGTGAAGAACTGAAATCTCTCACTGCAGGTTACATTACATAAAAAAGTTAGTGCTGAAAACTTAATCGCAAGAACAGCAAGAACTAAGAACCTGTTTCAATAGGATCGGCTAAAATCGGTGGAAAAATTACAAATAAAGGTTTTCTTAAGCAAGAATTAAATTTGTGCCAATCTGAATGAAAATTTTCACGTATGGAGGTCAATTTTTCTTATTCGAGGCACAATCCTAATCAGACCTTCGGTACTTTGTACTAATCATCCCCTAAATTTAAATTCTTCCTTTTAATTTTTTTCTAATTTTCCTAAATTTGTGCCATGCTCCCAAACAAATAATCATTTCCAATTAAGTCACCACCATTTATAAACAAGCTCTCTATTTCACATATTTGCTAACTAAATATTAAACTTACATAGATGGATCACCACAAAAGGGAGGAATGTCCCAAATGTTGGAAAACGTTCAAGGATAAGATAATATTGACCCGGCACATGATAACACACGATTCCAACATTTCTGTGAAATGCAAGGTAAGCGTTTAGAATTTAATTAAGAAGTTTTAAAATTTCAAATAACCACAAACTCAAATATTTCTCGGCCCAGATTTGCGGGATTCGCAAAGATTCGCACGACCGCAACATTTGAAACGGCACATGGTAAGAAACCTGAGTGTGGGAAAATATCTATTTATGTATATCTAAAAGCATCGATACTCAGAATAGAGTAAACGTGTCAATCGACCAAAAATTACATGCAAACTCATAAAATCCTTTCCACGTTACTTGACTCCACCACATGGAGTACATTAGCCGAATGATTTTATTATTTGACACGAATTTATTTTATTTTGGCATTTACATTATTCATTTTCGTATGATTATTACGACGCCAAAATAAAAATAACTGGTAGCAAACAAACGTACCTGTCAGACTTAGGAAATTCGTGGTTTCTGTAAATTTCGTATTAGTGGAAATTGTGATAGATTGAAACCATCAGAGCGCTTACAAGGGACACTCACGACCTGTCGTTTGAGTCCAGGGTACCCACTATGTTTTTTAGAATCTACTAGGACCCCACATGAAGGATTCATTCATATTTCCGTGTAAAACTCATATTTGGCGACGTGGCGTGGCGCCAAATTCGTCAAATTTGATGGTTTTTCATTTTAAAACCGCCATAAGTTTTGAAATCCTGGACGGATTTTCAAAATTTTTGGCAAAAATCATGACAAGGAGTTCAAATTTCGTATTCTATGAAATTTTTTCCAAAATTATCGCTTTTAACTTTTCGCAAAATTTCGAAATTTCGGATTCGTCGAAAAAATGCTAAAAATATCTCAAAAATTAAAATTTTTGTATTTTTATTTTTTTCTCTAAAATTTCGACTTTTCTGATCATTTTAAGCATAAACTTTTAAAAATCCGACATAAACTGCAAAAGTTATGGGGGTTTGAAATTGGTCGAAAATGCAAATTTTTAAGTTTAGCGATACGCCATTGGGCCAAATATGAGTTTTACACGGAAATATGAATGAATCCTTCATCAGGGGTCCTAGTAGATTCTAAAAAACATAGTGGGCACCCTGGACTCAAACGACAGGTCGTGAGTGTCCCTTGTTAGATGCTCATACGCTTTTAATATCAGGATTTTTGTACATGTTTGCCTTGCAGAAGTCGCATCTTGAAAAATCTGCTCGAGAAAGTTTCACGTGTCGCGATTGTCCCGCCGCTTTCTTGACTGCACGTGGATTACAGCAACACATTCGGAGTTATCATGAAGACCGGAGGGATTATCTGTGCCCACATTGTCTCCAGAGATTCGGAACTCGGGGCGAAATGAAGCGTCACGTGGAGGCGCGACATCCCACGGGCAAGGAGGCGATCCATTCTTGCGACCAGTGCGAGTACACGACTCACACGAAGCATTATTTCATGAAACACATGCGCCGACACGTGGCTAGAAACCAAAGCAAAGCATGCTACTTTTGCGGAAAGGTTTTCATTCAATTTCGTTTTCTGGACAAACACTATGGAATTCATACGCTAGAAAAGTGAGAATGAATCATGTTTCTGGGTTTAATTAGAGTTGTTAATCTGCATAAGTATGTATATATGTAATTCATGTATTGGTATTTAGATATTGGGGATAGAACTATTCAATCATTGATCGTTACATAGATTAAATTCTAAAAAATAAATTTTTTATTCGTTATTAATTATTAATTCCTGCTGCATTATTTTATGAATTTTACCTAAAATTCGCCTAATCATGTGCATGGATTGATCAGTATAACTCATTAATCTTACACTTTAGACTTTTACAAAATCAACAATCCTTACGCATAGCCCCTTAAGAAAAGATAATACGTAATGTAAAAATCGTAGCTTAATCCCAAAAAGGCGCTTCTGGTGAATTTGACATTTTTAGAAGACGACGGAGCTCTCCATCAGGGAAAAATGCCCCGTGAGGACTGGAGGCATCAAATTCTGCGTGGCCCTCCGACCTGCTAGTTTTCACGACCCGGGCAGCCCGAATTGTATGGTCACACGCATGAAATCGGTCTCCTACCCGGAACACGTGCTGGAACATGGCAAGGTTCGGAAACATGCGGGTGAATCTTGTAACTTGGACGGAATCGCAATCCTCCGTTGTTAAGGAGACGCTCAAAATCTTGATTTGCAGGATTTCCAGGCTTTTCCCATTTTCGTCACAGTTTGAGATTAGATACTCCCAAAATTCGGGGACGACCAGAGAGCTAACCAGGATTTGGAGCTGGGTCACCAATGGCGTGGAAAGTTTGAGTCGATTGCCCTGCAATTTATTAGTTGAGCCAATTTAGATCTCCGTTATAAAGGGTGGTGATTTATTTCGTCCCGATTTATCCTGTCAATAATTGAAAATTTGCGTATCAGACGTGGTGAAAACTGTGTGTTAAGTTTTTTATAAGAGACATATTGCCAGTTAATTAATCATTCGTTTAATTATTTTCCTTTGACGTTAATTTACATACGCAAATTTGTGTCATACTAAAAAAAACAATCGGGACGAGTTAAATTAACACCCTTTACATACATAAATTTGGTCATTATCATATTTACATATTTACCAAGAATAAGTTCTTGAGAGAAAACACATCCAACATTTCCAGAGCAAATCCCTCAATTTCATTCGGCCTTTGTCGAATGGTAGAAGTTAACCTTAAGGAAAAGTCGGGGCAGATCGATCTTCTGTTCGAGAAGGGCCCGTTCCTCTCGGTTAAACCAAATCAGGTCCAGTAACTCACAGATTCGCAGATTCGGAATGATGCCGCAACATCTGCCCTACTTGGCGGACAGTGTCGTCATTCTTTTGGTAGATTCGGACCAGGAGGAATTTCAAAGGTCTGGGGAAAGCCGCGAATGCACGGACCATTTCCTCCGTGACGAGGTAATCGGCCCGAATTCCTTGCAAATTTGGGCAAGGGTGTGCTCCTTTAGGTGGTGAAGGGGCAGTCAAACATTTCGATTCTTTGGTGAGGTCTTCATCTACCATGAAAAGTCCGAACCATCCTTCAAAGTCGAGAAATTGGAGGGATGGAAATAACTGGATTAGATAAGCGTAAGACGCAGACTGCAAGGATTTGACTCCGTCCCCCTGTTACAATTGTTAAGCGATAGTTAGATAAAATAGTCACGTGCGTTACTTTACAAAATGGGAGAAACCTGGTTGGTAGAGTCGTATTGGTTTGTTTCTAACAATGGAGGTCTCCCAACGTATGCTCACAGATTTTGACCAAACTAGCGCCAATCGATCGGAAATATAATGAGTATGAGATTTGCAAAATGGAACTATCCGTCAATGCGCAAGTTTGGCCAAGATATTTGCATTCAAGGCAGGAAAAATGTGCATAAAATTTGGAAAATGGAAAACTTGCCAGCCTTGGGGGTGCATTTTCCCATCTTTTTATGCAAATGTCTCCGTTAAACTTGAACATTGGAAGACAGTTCCATTTGCAAAATTCATACTAATTGAATTTGTGATCGATTGACACTAGTTTCGTCCTAATTTGTGAACATACGTTGGGAGACTCCTATTGTAAGTGACAAAATTTAAAAAAAACGAAGGTTTGTACTAGGAAAAACCCACTTTAGGTTAAAGTATAGGAAGTTGTATGTATCCAAAATCTATGAAATTGGTGTGATTAGAGATATTTGAATTTAAACAAAAACCGTGGAACCGGAGTAAGGTGAGATTACAAAATCTATGAGTTAGGGAGCTTTTAAATGGGTACATTTATTTATAACTTACATCATCTACCCGATGCACTCTTAGTCCCAGCGTGGTTATTCCGGACGGGATGTCACCCTTCGAAACGGACTGGACCCCTTCGTCCGTAAAATTCACGATGTCGAAGCAAAATCTCCTCAGATTCTGCATATGGCATAGAACTCCACCAAGTAATTTGGCATCGGCTTCATCCCTTAACATGATTTCGAGTCGCAATTCCACAACCAAGGGTCCAACTGAAGGGGTGATTTGGAACGATGAAACCAACCCTTGACCGATTTCGGGGTCATTCCGTTGCTCGTAGTGTTCCTTAAAGTGTATACATATTTATTTAGTGTTGTAAATGGCTTAAAAAGGCTAAAATGCCAACTTGTGCAAATTTGACTATTTAAACATTTTTTTACCCTTAAGTATTTTGGATAAAATTGTACCAATTTCCATTGAACATACATTCATATAGAAGATGTGGAGTAATAAGAATGCATAAGCCACGTTGAAAAGCCAGAACCAATAATAGAGGACGGCGTGGTTTTCGACCCCTCCCACCCAGCGCCAGCCAATCAGAAATTTTTTAAATTAAATAATATTAATTATGTGTTGGTTTAATTTTCAACTTAATCAGTCCAACTTAAGCAAAAATGCAGTAAATTGTACAGGTTGGACGCCAAAATCGAAACAAATGTATATTTGTGATTCTTTAAGAAGCTGAAAAAACTGAGAGGTTATGGTGAAAAAGCGTGAAAACCTCGCCGTCGTCTCTTATTGGCTCTCAACGTGGCTTACTCATCCTTATGGAGTTAAACCTTCTAGGTCTCCTTTAGGAGGCTTATCTACTTTTCTCTGACCAATTTCAAGCAATTGCGAAATTTTAACTTTTTAATTTTTAGACAGAGCCTTTAGGTAACGAGCTGTAATCAGATTTCTACCAATCCGGCCCAAAATCGGCTAATTCAATTTTTGTGTTTCGCCGTAATGTACCTATACCACTGCACTTCAATAAAATTCAATTTTGCACAAGTCTGTGACCATTTATTCGTAGTGTATGCATATAAAACCATTTCCTTCATTCACATCTCATCGATAAGCCTACCTTCATGAGTGTTTCATAGTTGTCGGGATCCTCTGGGCGGGATTGGTACCCAGCGCCGTAGCGACGGTGGAGAGACATGGAGAGGTACTCTCCAGGCCGTACGGCCCTTCGGGCCGTACGGCGTCCATCGGTTGTACACTAGATAAAAAGACCATCCATATCTAACTATTCCGCAATTCGACTCAAGCATTCATTATTCTTCCCTCAAGAGTTCAGTGGCATTATATAACTTTATAGAATATCGCCGTTGCAAATTCCGAAACAGAAGTAATATTACTGCTGTAAAAGATTGGAAATAGGGCAATATGTAACAAATACCGACATTTTAAATAATTTATTGGGTTTAAGATGGTCTAAGAAAGCTTGGGCTTTTATAAAAATTGTATAATATGCATTTCATACATTTTAAATTTGCTATGATTACCAGATCATGTAGGGGAAGGGCCACCCGAGAAGGCTCCAACCAATACATAAAAAGGGAAACAACCTTTATCATAACTTGCTCGCATATTTTTATTTTTATCGTTTTTATGGGATTCTTTTAATATGCATCATTAGTGGCTAATCATGTCCTACATATGTAAGTTGCCACCGATGACATGCCAGGCAACTTGAATTCAAATAAAAACAACCATTAAAAATGTCCCGTTTGTTAGCTGCAACATTGTAATTTGTATTTCAGGTAATGTAAAGCATTTGTTGAGTTAGGAATTCAAATTTAATTGAAATGCTACAATCACAACAAAGTTGTGACATTTTCGTTTTTGCACCAAATTTAGCATTTCAGTGATTCATACATATGGATGTAAGTATGTAATGGAAACTATTTTCATGACTCCAGTGCTTGGCTAAATACTTTTCCACTGCCTGTTTGGGAAGGACGGTGTGAGATGCAGCAAGTCAATTATCGATCATAAGAAATAGTCTCAGATTGGACGACTCAGTTTTGGAATGGTGGAAAATCACTCCATTCTATCGCATGTTTCTTGCAATAAATCTAATTTTGTAATTGTAGTTGTTTTTGCAATAATTACTATAATTAAATTAGACCATTAATTAAATTTAAAATGGGTCGACCGAAGGAGGAAAATTTCAAACCAGTAGCTGTAAGAAAGGAGGACAGTGGAGCAGAAAAAATCAGGAAACGGAAACTTAAAGAAGAAGAAAATGGACGACTGTCTTCTTCAATGGCAAAATTCACTAAAAAATGTCTCCCTATATCAACTTCCATGTCAATTACGGATTCAGGTAATTTTTAGCAGTGCACAAAACACAAATTTATGTATGTAAATGATGTTGATTTTCGTTAGTTATATTGGAAAATCAAGGGTTAAATTAATTTAATGTGCCTACTACGCTACAATTTTAATTATCCTTTGTAGTTTATATGTATTTTAGGGTAAATTTGATTTATAAATATGTACATATTGTCTCCTGTTTGTAGGCGTAAGCTCGTCGGCTGAATTACCTCTTGACAATTTGGAACAACCGGACAATGTGAAGTCATCCACTGAGAAAACTGATGATTTGTCGTTAGAAGAAATTGCATGCTCGGAAATAACTTCAAATCCTAACAATAATGGTAACCATTGCATATAATATCTTCATGTCTAGGACATAGGAACTACTAATTTATTTGATTTCCTTTAGATGCAAAACAATCCGAAATACCGACCGAAATATTATTTGACTCCGCCGATCCCAGTACTTGGCCACATCCACTTTCCGCAATTCAGAAGGACATACTTCTTAAGAGTAGAAGGTCACTACTTGTCGGGCCCCGATTTCGATCTCCTTTGGATATGTTGTAATACTATATGAGTGTAGAAAAAGTGAAGGAGGGTTAGACTCCATGAGCCCATTTACGCCCGCCACACCCCCTCAAAGGCGCCCAAACCCCCGGAGTTGCCGCACTAAATTCATCGCCAAAAATCGAGTTTTGGTCAGATTTTCAAAAAAATTACATTTTTGTGATCCCAGATAGTTGCTCTATCATATCCAATAGCAAACTCAACTTTTTTGGAATTTCGAATTTTTTCAATACCTACCCTTAGAAAATCTTCGAAAATATTGAAAATTTCAAAAAAGTTGAGTTTGCTATTGGATATGATAGAGCAACTATCTGGGATCACAAAAATGTAAATTTTTTGAAAATCTGACCAAAACTCGATTTTTGGCGATGATTTTAGTGCGGCAACTCTGGGGGTTTGGGCGCCTTTGAGGGGGTGTGGCGGGCGTAAATGGGCTCATGGAGTCTAACCCTCCTTCACTTTTTCTACACACATGTAGTACTACAACATATCTAAAGGAGATCGAAATCGGGGCCCGACAAGTAGTGACCTTCTACTCATTAGTGGGCTTCCTATCCAAAAGCGATTACAAATGTACCCAAAAAACGGACAAGTCAGTTTCAATGATAATCATTATTTCAAGACTAACATTTCTGACAACAGCATTAACTCTGCAAGGGACTGGCTTATGTATAGTGAGAGTACAAACAGTTTATTTTGCTACCCGTGCTGCTTATTTTCATCGAGCCAGAATTCTCTAAACTCGTCATCGACATTTGTGAAACATGGTATTAATGTTGTTGGATTCAATGATTTTGCCCCTCAATCCCGTGGTATTCAAGCACACGAAGAATCCCAGCACCATTTTCAAGCAGTGATACTATGGAAAACATACAGAAAACTTGCAGATTCAAATAAGCAAATTTCAAGAAGCTTGCAAGCCCAATCTGCCATGGAAATTGGATTTTGGAAAGAAGTCTTAAATTACTTGATGCCATAATTTTCCTATCCAAAAATAACCTTGCCCTGCGTGGAACAACAACAGATATTAACAGTAAAGATTGTGGCAATTTCCTCTCACTCGTGAAATTATTGAGCAAGTACCATCCTCCATTAGCACTACATATTGAAAGATTGAAGAAGGGGAAAACTAATTACATGTCACCTCAAATTCAAAATGAATTTATTGACCTCTCAGCAAAACTTGTACGAACGAAAATTTTGGAGAAAATCAAGGAAAGAAAATATTTCTCGATAATGTTTGACTCAACGCCGGACACGTCTCACAAGGAGCAAATTAGCCAAATAATTCGATCGGTTTCCTTTAATGAAGATGGGTGCAAAATCGAGGAAGATTTTATTGACTTCATCAACTTTGACGGAAAAACTGGAATTCTACTTGCTGAGATGATTCTAAATAAGCTTAAATCTGATAATCTTGAAATTCAAAATTGCCGTGGACAGGGCTACGACAATGGAGCCAATATGAGTGGAAAATATCGGGGCGTCCAGGCCAGAATTCACGAAATTAACCCACTTGCAAGTTTTATCCCTTGTGCTGCACATTCCCTTAACCTTGTTGGACAGCACGCTGCTAGTAGTTTTCTTGCCGGGAAACTGATTCTGGGGCAGATTCAAAATCTATTCACATTTTTCTCAGCTTCCACATCCCGATGGGCAACATTAAAAAAGCATGTCAAAAAATCGCTGAAGGGTCAGTCAACAACCCGTTGGGCAGCCAGAGCTATCGCAGTGTCCACACTTTTAGATGAGTTCAAAGGAGTTATAATTGCTCTGGAGGAATTAATCAACTCAGACGAGTCAAATATTCAAACGGTAGCTGACGCTAGTTCCAATTTGACTCAAATTTGTACGTTCAAATTTATATTGGGACTGAATATCTGGGCATCGATTCTTTCGCGAATTAATGAGGCTAACATTGCAATACAATCAGAAACTACTTCATTGGATCAGGCCACAAAACACATCGCAGGCGTTGTTGCTTATCTAGAAGAATTCAAACTAACGGGATTTGAATCATCCGTTTCGAAGTCAGAAATAATAGCTGAAGAAAATGGAATAAATCAAGATTCTGGATTTGATTACAGAAAAAATCGTGGCAATAAACCAGCTAGGTTCCGAATCGAGGAGAGTTAGTCACTTCAACAACCAAGTAACCTTGAGAAATTTAAGATTGATTTCTTTAACAATATACTCGACAAGACCTCTGAGGAATTTCAGACTAGATTTAAAACTATGGCAGAAACTTTGCACGATTTTAATTTTTTATGGGGAGATCGATTAGCTAACGACGGAACGGAACAAAAATTAAAATGTACAAAGGATCTTGCAATGAAATATGAAATAGACTTGGATATTACGGGTTTCGAAAATGAAATTAAACATCTAAAGTCAGCTATTGAACCATTCTTGGATCCCAAAGACAAGAAATTAGGTTCTACAACTCCGCTAGAGATTTTAAATATTCTAACGTGCAATGGGCTACAACCACTTTTTATTAATTGTCGCACTGCACTTCGGATTTTCCTGACCCTCCCAGTGACTGTGGCGTCCAACGAACGATCGTTTTCGAAGTTGAAGATAATTAAAAATTATTCAAGATCATCGATGGGCCAAACACGACTCAGCAATTTGGCCATATTATCAATTGAAAAAGAATATACAGAAAAAATTTCGTTCGAACAAGTAATCCATGACTTTGCGGTGACAAAATGCAGAAAAGTTAACATTAATCCATAAATTTTGTATTTCAAAATTTATAATTAACACCTGGGTTTTGTTAAATTACAAGCATTAGTTGTGCATAACACGTAAATTAGTATAATTAATTTTAAAATACTTTGTATTTGAAGGAAAACCTGTGCTAAAAACCGGTGTAGCTTAATTTCAACTGAAAACTGAAATAAAAAATTATGTATGAAAACCCTAATTTAATTTTTTTCATGCGCTACATTAGGCCGTACCGCGACAAAGCTCTCCAGGCCGGACGAAACGTCGCTACGGGCCTGTTGGTACCAAGGGGATGGAAGTGGGGAAATAAAAAAGGTGCAGGAAAAACGATGGGTCCTTAGGAATGGGAATAATTCTTCCGTTTTTTGGAATCCATGAGAAGTTTGGAGATCAATTTTGACCTCGGGGAACATACGGCCAGCTTCATACGCCCAAAATGGACAAACGAGGCAACACATTTTCAAGGAGGACAGGGTAAGGAAGGAAAATACGCGTTCCAGCAGCTAGAAAGGAGAAAGAGTGAATTACATAAATATGTATGTGGGTTGCAAATTTCTGGGGAAGTTGCAAAATTATGAAAAATCGTTTAAAAAAAAAAGTTTTCCAACTAGATGAAGCACCTTCAATTATAGAATGGTATTATTATCAACTCTTTTGCATAAATGACAAAAATGCATTAAAATTATTTGCAATTTTCACGTCATTTCTGAGTAATTTAAAACCTACAGTGCAGCTTTGCTTAGCCCGAGCCAGGGTGGGTACAACTAGAATTTGTTTACCAATCTTTACGCCAAAATTCAGCTTAATTGAGTGATTTTGCAAAATCAGTATGGGTCACCCCACCGGGTTCCTCTGGGTCAAAATTTTCAAAATTGTACATCATAAACTCCCATTATAAGCTGCTATCGACTTCCATACCAAATTTCAGCTTAATTGGACGATTTTGAAAAATCAGTTTGAGTGACCCCATAGGGTCCCTCCAGATAAAAATTTTCGCAAATTCACTTCATATCTTTTCATTAGAAGCCATTAGTTACATATTTACCAAATTTCAGCTTTCTACAACAATTTTGAAAATTTGATGCATAATAACCCCACCACCCATATGGCCCCCACCGGCCAACCACTTGACCGATTCGGCTCATCTTCGAACTTGATTTGTCTTTTGGGTAGATATAGATGTGGTAAAAATTTCAAGTCGATCGGTTGAGTTTGAAGAGAGTTATCGCGAAGACAGACGGACGGACGGACAGACAGACAGACATAACGGGTACATAAGCCCTTGCTCGGGCTAAAAATGCAAAAAATAAACACTTTCAAATTAAGTAGACGCGTAAAAGTTAAAGATAACCACCTCACACCTCTCCATTGTAGGTGCCTTTACTATTCAAAAAGGGAACCTTCTTGTTAAGGATGTACCGGACAAAAACTTTTAAAATAAATAATAATGAATAAATATGTAACGGAGTAATTTACGTATTTTGCCAACCTGGTGATTGTATAGGACTTGATGCTCGGCGAGCGTATCCTCCACATGATCGTCTTCGGTTTCCTTGGCGTCGGGCATGGAATTTAGTGCCAAACTTTTGAATCCTCTCTCACCCTCCTTCTTTAATTGCTGAGGATTAATTTGTATTGAACTGGTAAAGGTAAAAATAAGTGCATAAGCGAATGAATGTTCGCTTTCACAAATATGTATGTACGCGATTTTTTCAACACAAGACACAGACTGGCAGCTGGATTGGATCAATAGGGAATTTTCCGGGAAGTATTGTCAGAGAAAGTTAGACAGTCAGTTATGCGTGTACATATGTACTAAAAGAGAAAGCCCAAAAACCCGGATTCTTTAGGAGATGTTTTGTTCTATCTGCTCCTGTACAAGTAAATATGTACACTTGAAATGAAATGGTTAAGGTTTTAGATATCCTCGGTAGTTAATTATTTAGCGTTTATTCAGGATCTAACAAGTTCATTTGTGCATATATATGTCAATATTTATGTATTATTTTTTAATTCGGTCATTTTTGTTTCTCAATGAGAAACAAAAGTGCTAAGGATTTTGAAATGAGTGCTGTAATTTTTCATTGCACAATTTATCAAGATGACACGCCAAGAAACAAAAGTCATCCCGATTTAAATTTTTTAATACATATGTATACAAATCCATAATCTATATTATAAGCTGGAAATGTCTCTTGGCAACGGAGGTGAAAGTAATTTTCCGTGACGGAATTTTCCGTGACGGAAGTGAAAGTGGAGAAAGCTAAGTTTCAAATGGCGCGAAAATTCAAATTAAATTCTTTATTTAAAAACATAAATTACCTAGATAACCAGTCTGACAACCACCCCCAGATAATCACTGTCTGACAACCACCTCCAGATAACCACTGTTTGACAACCACCCCCAGATAACCACTGTCTGACAACCACCTCCAGATAACCCTGTCTAACAACCACCCCCAGATAACCACTCTCTGAAAACCACCCCCAGATAACCACTGTCGTACAACCACCCCCAGATAACCACTGTCTGAAAACCACCCCCAGATAACCAGTGTTTGACAACCACCCCCAGATAACCACTCTCTGAAAACCACCCCCAGATAACCACTGTCTGACAACCACCCCCAGATAACCACTGTTTGACAACCACCCCCAGATAACCACTGTTTGACAACCACCCCAGATAACCACTGTTTGACAACCACCTCCAGATAACCACTACAAATCTATGAAGTGAGCACATGTGCTCACTTCACAGATTTGTGCAAATGGTGACGAGACAAAAGTGTGAAGTGATCACCTGTGATCTCTTCACACTTTTTGACGGTGGTGACGAGACACAAAGGTGTGAAGTGATCACAGGTGATCAGTTCACACTTTTGTGTGAACTGGTGACGAGACACAGTGTGATTTTGCTTAAAAATTAAAATTTCAAAAATTTTAATTTAAAACCAAATTATTTTTCATTTACAACCCCACACACATAAACACTGTCTGACAACCCCCAGATAACCACCCATGATAACCACTCTCAGATAACAGCCAGTGCAGTGCATACCACTGCACTAACAGTTCCGTGCAGTGTTCACATGTTTGCACTGCACAAGATTGTCGTTTCATGTCAAGCGCTGTTTGTGCAGTATGCACATGTTTGCGCTACATCGGCGTGTCACGATGCACTGTTTGCGCAGTCGCTCTGTGTCGCCCCATGTCGCCCCGGGGTTGATATACGCATAGACCAAGTACCCACAATTCACCACGAGAGACATTTAATTCATTCTAAAACACGAACTACGAATTTGTTTTTTGTTTACTACTGTTTGTCCAAGAATGGAGTCTATCCCTTCAACTTCTGCATCTCGAATGCGGAAGCACAGAGCATCGCTATCGGTTGAAGATCTGGAAAAACGAAGAGCAGCAGATCGATTACGAAAATCCCGTAAAAAAGACGAGGCCAACCGTCAGGTGATTCTGACAACTAACCAATTGGATCATATTGGCAACGGTAAAACGGTGTTAAAATAATTTATTTATAGTTTGCATTATGCAATTCATTAAAGTGTAGCTACATTGATTACAGATATCGAGATTGTAGATGCCCATGAAACTTCTACTTCGGATGTAGAAATTATCTCTGCCGACGAAGAAACTTCTAATGGTACGCGCTAAAGAATTGCACCCGTTAATTAATTTGACATTTATTGTTTTTGTGTTATGTGCTTGCAGACGTCGAAGTAGAAAATTCGCCTCGAATGCCGTTGTCATCAACTGAACGGTCCAGGATTCACAGAGCAGGTGCGTCGGCAGTTGTAATAGAACAAAGACGCAGGTCGGAAAGGATAAGAGGCCAACAAAATCGTGGAGCAGAGACTGAAGAAGAAAAAGCGGTAAGAAGAGCGAAGGATGCTGAGCGGCATAGACATGTTCGCTTACGCCAGGAAAATGCAGACCCACCAGAAATACAATCTTTGGATACCTTGAACGAAATTTCGATTGACGAGCATTACTGTGGGCAAATGAGTTTAATTTGCGCATCTTGCAGCTCTAGAAATTTTCGTGCCGAAGTTACTTCGAATGACACTTCTTTTACCAAGTGTTGTCAAAAAGGGAAAGTCGGCTTACCCCCAGTCAAAACAACTGACTTCCTGGAAACTTTAATGAAAGGCGAGCATGAGAAAAGTAAAAACTTGAGCACCATGGAGTATATTCGATCATTCAACAGCTCCCTTGCTTTTGCATCCGTCGGTGCTAATATAGCAAGTCCACCTGGTCATGGCCCGTACTGTTTCAGGATTCATGGCCAAATTTACCATCGTGCTGGTACTCTACATCCTGAAGAAGGCCAACCACGAAAGTTTGCTCAGCTTTATATACTGGATTCGGGTTTTGCTGCTGAACAGCGTTTGTCCCTAAGCGAAAATTCAAAGTGCTCCCACGACTTAATGAAAGAGTTAAGTAGTTTCATGGCTGCAAGTAATGCAAGGGCAACGAAAATGCTCTATGAAGTTGAGATTGAGGCAGAGGAGGAGGCCAGGCGACAAAACCAACCAAAAAGCATTCTCTTCATGGCCATCGTCCAGACAAAGGAAAGCGATATCAGACGTTATAATGCTCCAAGAGCCAATGAAGTAGCAATCATATTCCAAGGTGATGATGGTGAGCCTCCACTTGATCGAGATCTATTAATTCACCTGAGAAAAGATCACTCCAACCTTCAGCCCCATCCACAAGGAGGATTAGTGTCTTAGACCCCCTATTGGACGCTATGACGTATCCTCTTCTGCATCCATTCGGAGATCCAGGTTGGTCGCCTGAGCTGAAGCACATCAGCGGCAACAATAAAAGAGTGTCTCAAATGGAATACTACGGCTATCGTTTCGCTGTCCGGAATTCATTCAATCCATTTCTAAGCGCTGGGAAGCTTATGCAGCAATATTTCGTGGACGCTTATGTCAAGACAGAAGGAAATCGTCTCAATTTTATCAAGATGAATCAGTCGAAGCTGAGAGCGGAAACGTACAAATGTCTTGCTGATTATCTCCAATCAAATGCGGGTGGTATTTACCCGGGGAAGGCTATCATTTTACCATCATCGTTTCAAGGCAGTCCAAGAAATATGCAGCAACATTATCAAGATGCAATGGCCATTGTTCGAAGATATGGGAAACCCGACCTCTTTGTTACCATGACTTGCAATCCGAAATGGAAGGAGATTCAGGAAAATTTGGAACCCAATCAAAGGGCAGAAAACCGCCCGGACTTGGTTTCTCGAGTGTTCCATATCAAATTGAGTGAGCTGTTAGATGATATCGGAAAGCGCCATGCTCTTGGGAAGCAAAAGGCAAAAATTCACGTCATCGAATTTCAAAAACGAGGCCTTCCCCACGCTCACATTTTAATAATTTTGAGGCATGAGGATAAACCATCGACTGATGATAAAATTGACAAGTTAGTGTGCGCGGAAATTCCAGATCCAGTGTGTCATCCAAAACTTCATGCTATGGTTACCCACCATATGATTCACGGCCCTTGCGGGAGCCACAATATGCGCAGCCCATGCATGGACGGTGAGAGCTGTACCAAGGACTTTCCGAAGAACTTTTCGCCCGAAACAATCGCCAGTATTGGAGGCTACCTGAGATACAGAAGAAGGGAAAATGGGGTCACCGCAACGGTGGGACAAAAAACCATCAACAACCAATGGGTCGTCCCTTATAATCCTTCTCTGCTGCTTAAATACAACTGCCACATCAACATAGAAGTTTGTGCTACAATTAAAAGTGTAAAATATTTATTCAAGTACGTGTACAAAGGGCATGACTGTGCAAATGTTGAGATTCGTGAGAATGCTAATCAACACGATGAAGTGAAGTCCTTTCTTGATGCTAGATATGTCAGTCCTCCAGAAGCTGCGTGGCGGTTGTTCGGGTACCGAATGCACCAGCAAACACACACGGTTTGCAGACTGCAAGTCCATCTCCCTAACGAGCAGATGATTGTTTTTCAAAAAGACAGTATATCATCAGCTGTTAGGAACGCCGCAGCTACAGACACAACTCTCACAGCTTGGTTTAAGTTGAATCAGGTTGACGCGGATGCAAGAAATTTCTTCTATTTTGAAATCCCGGAGCATTATATCTTTGAAAACTTGGCGACCCAGGACGTGAATGCAATTAAAAAGAAAATCTGGAGAAAAAGGAGGAACCGCCGTGGTGAAAAAACCATCGGCCGAATGTATACGGTCAGCTTCTCAGAAACCGAGCGTTATTGCCTACGAATGCTTCTCCGCCACAAGAAAGGTGTTACGTCATTTGAGGATTTAAGAACAATCAATGGAACCATCCACAATAACTTTCAACAAGCTGCTGCTGCTATGGGATTATTAGATAGTGACGAAATATGGGAAGACCCCTTGGACGATGCGGTGATACCTGGAATGCCATATCAATTGCGCCAGTTGTTTGCCCTAATATGCATTTTTGCCTGCCCAATGAATATTGTTTCTCTTTGGGAAAAGTATAAAGTCTCATTGATGGAAGACTTTTCTCACCGCCACAGCCATCCAGAAGACTGTCAGCATTGTATGAACTTGGCTCTTCGTGACATCCAAGAGACCCTTGCGATTCATGGAAAATTCTGTAATGACTTTGGCCTCCCGAAACCAAGACCAGTCGGCTTAGGGGCACCCATCACCTTTAATCCTTTGGAGCAAGAGTTGCTTGGGTTGGAAATGTCCCGTAACTTAAATGCTGAACAACTCGCGGCCTTCAAGTTAATTTGTGACTCCATAGTTGACCCTGCAGAGAAATCTAAGTGCTATTTTATTGATGGGCCCGGTGGGAGTGGAAAAACTGATTTGTATAAGACTTTGATCAGCACATTGCGAGGGGACAACAAGATCGTTCTTTTAACAGCTTCCACTGGCATTGCTGCGAATCTCTTACCAAATGGGCGAACTTATCACTCTCAATACAAACTGCCTGTCCCATTGGTAGAAAATTCTGTATCATCAATGCGCCTTACCTCTGCTGATGCTAGACAAATAAAAGCAGCAGATTTGTTAATTTGGGACGAGTCGACCATGGCTCCCAAGTACGCATTATCAGGTATAGATCGCCTTCTTAAAGAAATCACGAAGAAGGATATTCCTTTCGGTGGAAAAGTCTTGCTGGTTGGTGGCGATTTTCGACAAACACTTCCAGTGGTGCTCAAAGGATCAAGATCAGCAATTGTCGAAAGTTCCATTAAATTCAGCAATCACTGGGATAAATTTGCTAAGCTGACCTTGGTCCAGAATGGTAGGTCCGTTGACCCCGAATATAGCGAATGGCTGCTGAAGTTGGGAAATGGCGAGCTGCTAAACTCGGACAATCTTCCCGACGATTTTGTGGAAATTCCTCCGGCAATGATTGCTGACAAGTCCATCGTCCAAGAAATCTTTGGTGAAAAACTAGGGACTTTTGAGGACGTCATGAATGTGTCCAACCGTGCAATACTGTGTCCCAAAAATGAGGATGCCCATAAGATCAATCGGGAAGTTTTGGATATCCTAGAAGGCGAGGAAGCGTCATATCTAAGTGTGGACTCCATTGAAGATGGGACAGAACAAGACGCCGTTTTTTATCCGACGGAATTTTTGAATGGCCTCCACCCTTCAGGCATGCCACCTCATATCTTACGACTCAAGGTTGGTGCTGTAATCATGTTATTGAGGAATCTAAACACCAAGCGTGGGCTATGCAATGGCACTCGCCTCATTGTAACAAAACTGCAAGTGAACTTAATCACTGCCCAAGTCTTAACTGGTTCTGCCGCCGGCCAATCAGTATTTATCCCAAGGATTCAACTAGCCCCTATAAACCCTGAAATACCGTTTGTCCTCCGACGGCGGCAATTTCCTGTGAATCTTGCATTTGCTGTGACCATCAACAAGTCTCAAGGCCAGACAATGGATTTGGTTGGAATTTATTTACCCGAACCCGTTTTTAGCCATGGCCAACTTTACGTCGCTTTTTCAAGAGTTCGTCGTTCCTGTGACGTGAAAGTTGTAATTGTGGATGGCGTAAAACAAGGGAAGTTAGTTAGAGGTGTTGACAAAGTATTTACCAGAAATGTTGTTGATAAGGAGGTGTTAGGTTAGATATTTAGTTATTATTCCATTTCTGTAGTGTTTTAATGAATTGACTCAAACAATAAACCGGACAATTTACGAATTTCAATTTTCAAAATTCATACATAATATTGTGACGCATTCTTTATTGCCCCGCATAAACAGCATAGCATGAAAATTTGTTTGAAGATTTCTTTTTAATCTTTAATTTTCGAAGTGCTGTAAATTTATTTCACTTCCGTCGACATCAGAGCGTTTCAGAATAAAAAATTCATTGCGTGGTTAAACGCTTGCCCGGCGGGAGACGGGCTTATACGCTAGTGCTTATCATATGTAAGTTTAGACCTTCCTTCATTTAAAAATTCTCCAAAAATGGAAACACATTATTGATTTCAATATAGGTTTATTAATTGATTTCAAATTTAATTCGTGTGTATATTCTTATTCAAAATATGTAGTTGGCGACATGAAGTTACAAATGTGTATATTTAAGTAACATTTAAATATATTACATGTTAGGTAAGATAAGATATGAAATTGCTTAAAATATACTTTCATATTTACCTAATAAGTAGAATGAATACATATAATTACATTTTTAGCATAAATCTATTCAGACCAACTTTTGTATAAATATTTAATTAGTATCCAAAGCTAATAAGACGAAATAACCAAACCAAGAATATAAATTTAACCTCATGTTCGCCATGATGACTAATCAAATTTAACACCTTGTGATAGCCAATTCTAATCCAACCAATTAAGAATTTATACTATGACGACTACATAACTTCATTATTTCAGTAGTTGTATATTATTTAATTCATTATGAAAAATAACTAAATTTAATTACCAAACTTAATTACACACTAAATCAATTTGATTAAAACCCACTCAAGGTGGTTGTGTAAAATTTATACTATGAAAGTTAAAATTTATCCAAGGCTGTAGAATTTGGGTAAATTTTACCTTTATCGTGTAAATTATACAAAGCCAGTTATATCATCGCAAAATAACAAATTCTCTGTCAAAACTTCGTAGAAATTATAGTGTTTTTCTACATGTTTTTTGCTTTTTGAAAAAATATTAAAATAGCAAGTTTACTAACGGATTTCTCGAAGTTGATTCATGTTGTCATTATGCAAAATTTAAATTAATTTTGTTAATTAATTTAAATAAAAATTTAATTTAAATTATGTCTATTTAAATTGGTCTTTTAATGTCATAATTAAGGTTTATTACAACATAAAAGGTTTACACATAAAAAAGTTTAATTTTGTTATGAATCGTGCATTTTTGTAGTCATTAAACACCAAGGTATGTACATAGATAAAGCATGTATGAATATTTGGAGTCAATTAAAAGGCTTACTCTAATTGATGTGGCGGCAAATTTGAAACATTAAAGGTGATTTTGCCTGATTGGGACATCTAAATTATTAGGCTTAATTAATTATTACAACTAAAACTGGCGTATTGCCCAAAAACCAACTTATTAGTCGAACTTCTTTTGGTTTAACTTTCATTTTGCGTTTCATACATACATGTGTTTATATATTTAGTTTTCGTACCACACTATCTGCTCTTTGTGTTTAGTTACTTGATTTTTAGTGCTGGTTTGAAGCACATTTTGAAGAAATAGGTCTCCATGTGCATTGTTGTAGAAAAGGGGGATGCGAGCGCCCAAGGGGCGAGCTTCTTGGTGCGCCATCTTTCTTTTCGCGATTAAGTATTTTGGCAAGATCGGGGCTTCGTCCTGCCATTCATTGATAAATTTTGAGAGTTGGCTGGTTGATACGAAGTGGGAAATATCCGGCTAAATATTGAAGCTTGCTTTGGATTATGTATGGTTTTTGGGATGAATGCACTAACATGTATTTATTTGCTGCTCATTATCTTTATGTACTAATTATCGAGTGTTCATAAATATCCGGTGGAAAATCCCTCTTTAATGATTAGTTTCTAACTACGTCCTCTCATTATAAATGTGGGGGAAGTTATTCTTCCAACCCAACCTTCTATGTCGAATGGTCAAAGCTTTAGTAACTCCATTCCCCTCACATCTAGCAGTCACTAGCAAAAGCCCATTTGCATCAAGTGCCATTGTGACATCCACCCTTTGAAATTTACCTGTCGTTGGGATACCAGCGAGAATAAATTTCCCCAGTAAACTATTATTTACTGCGTTCATATCTTCACCCTCATAAATGCTAACTTCCACTTCTGTCTTTTTATTACCTAAAGCCATATAACTTTTAGTGTTTTCATTCGGATATTTAGAATTCTTCGGAAATACGATGGAGAAAACACCATTAAGTTTAATCCCAATCGACATTGGAGTGACATCATGTATCGTGGTCCTGACTGATTCGTAGCCGTGGCTGGCGCCTGCTCTGATGGCCGCCCCTATTACAACTGCTTCGTCAGGATTCAGCCTCCCGTTCAACGGCTTTCCATCAAAAAAATCTTGCAGCATTCTTTGAATCTTTGGTATCCGAGTACTGCCACCAATAAGAACAACATCGTCAATGTCAGATTTTGTCAAATTTCCGTCCATTAAAGCTCTCCCGACAAAGCTGATGCATCTCCTAAACAAAGTAGCATTCATAGCGTTGAATTCGTCCACTGTAACTTTGACGTTTAAGTCAAGGCTTGTTGTACCCTGCACTATGAGACCATCCAGTGCGACCATTGTAGAGGAACATACAGATAAGGCAATTTTTGTTTTTTCACATTCATTACGTAGTCTTCGTAATCGACGATTGTATTGTTCTTTAACAGGTGGATCGGTGGAATACATTCCATCGAAAAAGTCCACGTTTGGGTTTGTTGCATTGAATTTAGTCATACAATAGTCCATCAATTTGGTATCGATATCTTTCCCTCCGAAGTGATTATCTCCTCCAGTTACAAGCACAGTAACGTCAGATTCATGGATCGAAATTATGGACACATCAAGTGTTCCACCACCAAAGTCAAAGATCAGTATTTTCTTTTCCTCTCCTAGAGTGATGTCTCGACTATATGCTACTGCAGCTGCGGTAGGTTCGGTCAAAAGTTCTATAACGTTTAATCCAGCTGCAATTCCGGCATCCTTCGTAGCTTGTTTTTGTGCGTCTTTAAAATACGCGGGGACCGTGATAACAGCACTAGTGACTGTCTTGCCTAATTTTGCTTCTGCATCTTCCTTCAGCTTAGTAAGTAACTTGGCTGATATTGTGTCCGGTGCATAGACATTTCCATCAACTTCTACTACTGCTGTCCCTGAGGTGTCGCTAGCGACTGTGAAAGGCCAGCCTTTCATGTCTTCTTGAACATTGGGGTCGTTATATGATCTTCCAACGAGGCGTTTTGCATCAAAGATAGTAGAACTTGGGTAAATTAAAGCCTGACTTTTTGCTACTTCCCCAACAACGTCTTCGGCCCCAAGTCTAATGTAACACGGCGTAGTTGGACTATTCTGTGAATTGTTTAATACTCTAACTTTTCCGTCCGGCTCGCAAATGGCAACAGAGGAATAAGAGGTTCCCAAATCAATCCCAATGGCGACTTGTTGTGCTGGTGGCTGCATGGAATTGGTATTCTTCCGGAAGTCTGCAAAAGGCGTGAGCTCCACTTTCATCATTTCTTTGACCAATGTCGTCACTGGGACCGTTTTCTTGTCTTCGAATGACTTGATTAGATCCATCCCTTTGTCCAAAGTTCCATTCTGCCTGCTTAAGAAATTGCAAAGTTAAATTTCAAGTGGTTTTTTTTCCTGCTATCGCCCCCTCAAACATTTTTTTAAATTTTTAATTTTGACAATTGCAGAGGTCAATATATAGATACCAGGGCTGTTCAATTACCAGTGGAAGTAATTAATTCTTAATTACTCCGTCTGCGAAAATTGGAATTACACTCTTAGAAATCCAGTATTAAAATAATACCAGGTGGTATTCATATATGACTCTACCAACGTGGTATTGATAAATAATACCGTGTGGTAATAACCCGGTATTAAAGTTTTACAATATCGGTATCAAATTTTTACTCACCGGTATAATTTTAATACCAAGCGGTAGCAACTTTAATACCGAGAAATCAATACCTGCGTGACTATACCGGATTTCTAACAGTGTAAGTACTAATTACAAATACTTCTTTGTCCAGTAATTGGACTTAATTATCAATTACAATTACTTTGCAAGCATGTAATTGATTTTCAATTACCAATTACTTATTAGTAATTGGAAGTCAATTACTTAATTACTAATTACTTAATATTCATACTTGAAATTCATTAAACGCTATTTAAAGGTTAACTTTCGACCAAAAATTCATTTCCGAATAGGATAAAACTTTTATAAATATCTCGGTACAACAAACAGTTCATCTATATGATTCAAAAGTTTAAAATTGCTGTGGATCTTTACTCCAGATAGATAATGGCTTTTCTTCCCACAATTACGACACTAAAATTCTTAATCCTTACATTTCAATCTATTGTATTTTACCTGACCCTGACTAACGAGATTGTTTAGGTAATTTTTGCAGTCCATGGAATTTTTGCAGCTAGTTGAAACAATTCTAATATAAAATTGTAATAAGCTTGAAGTCCAAAAGCTGAATGGGAATAATGACCAAAGTGTTCGCAACAAAAGATATTTACATAATTCGAGTTCTCGGGAGAGGTAGACTTGTCGTATTTCATTCTAAATTAAGTAATTGATCAAAGTAATTGAGTATTCAATTACTAATTACTACTTGGCCAGGTAATTAAGTACTTCCAATTTTAATTACTCCAGGTCCTCCAAGTACTAAAGTACTTAATTACTTTGACAAATACCAGAGTAATTGAAACCAATTACCAATTACTAATTACTTCAAGCTCGGTAATTATATCCCGTTTACTCGAAGATTGGTCTTTTCCTTTTAACACGTTAAGTTAGAGCAGGTCTGGATGAGTTATTTACCCATCCTCCCCCCAAGCAGCCCATATAGCACAGCGGTCTTCGCGGCAAGCCTCCAAGTTTTGGGTTCGTGGGTTCGAACCCCGGTCGGGGCATTTATCCTTGTTTGCATTTTTCTTGTTTTTGTAGACCGTTTTTTTTATTGGGGGTTTCATAACTTTGACGTATGATGACCTGGTGACTGTGTGCACCGAAGCCGAATTATCCTAATATTTTACATCAGTTAATTTTATTTTGGCGTTCGAATTATTAAATTTGGATAGTTGAATGATTTTCACGCCAAGCTAAAATAAAGTGGTGTTAAATAATAGGATAAGTCGGCTGATTCGGGTAATATAATCGAAGTGAATTAGCCGAGTCATCCGAAGTATCCTATTATTTAATACCACTTTATTTTAGCTTGGCGTGAAAATCATTCAACTATCCAAATTTAATAATTCGAACGCCAGAATAAAATGAACTGATGTAAAATATTAGGATAATTCGGCTTCGGTGCACACAGTCACCAGGTCATCATACGTCAAAGTTATGAAACCCCCAATAAAAAAAACGGTCGACAAAAACAAGAAAAATGCAAACAAGGATAAATGCCCCGACCGGGGTTCGAAAGCACGAACCCAAAAATTGGAGGCTTGCCGCAAAGACCACTGTGCTATATGGGCTGCTTGGGGGGAGGATGGGTAAATAACTCCTCCAGACCTGCTCTAACTTAACGTGTTAAAAGGAAAAGACCAATCTTTGAGTAAACGGGATATAAGTAAGTAAGGTTGCCGCGGGTAGTTGCACTACCCGGCCGGGTACTACCCGGCCAATATTTACCAATTACCCGAACCCGGCCGGGTACCCGCCCCGGCTTTCCCATAAATCATGCGAGCTATAGTATAGTTTTAACAAAAAATGATTGCGACGATCTTCTTATTAACTAATGGAAGGGCAATTAATGTAACAATTTAAGTTTAGTGCGAATTTGAGATGATTTAGTTTACAAAATTTATAAAGGAAACAGTCAGCATGGCATAATTATTGTCTGCATGATCTTCTTCAATTTTTGATACATGTATTTCAGTTCTTTAACCGTAGAGTCTACAGCGTTTCCCAATTATAGGATACGCTGATTCTTGATATCCTGACATTTCAACCCCAAATCAAGCTTGCTTTTAAGGAAGTCTTTGGTTCTACTATTAAAGCTCTACAACATATCAAAAATAGTGGAAAAGTCAGAAAATTGTACCGACGAGAATTTTGTCTAATCCTTTATGATAGTAATACAAATATTTTAAGGAGACTTCGACAAATTAATTATTTAAACGGAGAAATGGTATAAAAATACAAAAATATGCCCAGAAAACGTAATAAATAAAATTGAAATTACCCGGTCGGGTAATTCTTAATACCCGGCTCAGCCGGGTACCCGGCATTTTTTCGCAAAATGGCCGGGTAGCAGGGTAGCAGGGTACCCGACCCGGTACCCGCGGCAACCTTATAAGTAAGTAATTAAGTACAAAAGTAATTAAGTACCACAGCCCTGATAGATACAATGAAAGGCAAAAATGTTTACTAAAAAATGCGCTCTGCAAGGACACCCTTATCTCAACTTTTACACGTATGTACATATCCCTTCATTGTGAGCCAAGCAATAGTCGCATTGACATGATATCTGGGTATTTGCTATACAAATAACATTATCCAAGGCGTGCATACATATTTTTACGAGACGCAGATCCGCGACGCCTTTGACCATAAACTTGAAATATAATGACGAATAAATTGACATCATAATCGATTGGAGAATTTTAATTTTTGAAAAAGTTAAAATTTAAGGTCAAAAATGTCACGTTTCGGCTTCTTACTAGAATTCACCTTAGACAAGATTATTGGGATAATAAGTACCCGACTTTCACGTCAGCTCGACTTTTGTTTGGCTGATAATGAGGAGATATGTTTAAAAGTTCACACTTGCTAGTTTGTGGTTCGCCGAACCACTAGCGGTTCGGAAGTCCCGAACCGACCCGAACCCCCAGCCGAACCTGGTTCGGTTAGTGGTTCGGTTCGGGGATTTTTTCTTATTTTACTGGTTCGGTTCGGTTCGGTTCGGGAAATTAAAAAAAATTATGGTTCGGTTCGGTTCGATTTCCCAAACTAGCAAGTGTGTAAAAGTTCCAACAAGTCCCAAACAGGCATCTTTGACGAGTGATTTTTTTGGTAACAATTCTTCGCATTTTATTTACCCATGGCACTAAAACTAAAAATTATCAAAATAAAAATACAACTGTTTGAGGTGTTCTACCGGAGAAAAAGTCATCTCAATAAATAATTCGGTTCGAATAAAGCAGACATCTTACATTGAGTCCTGGTCTATTAAGCTGTCGGTGACCTCCTTCATACTCTTCAGCCTATCTTCAACCTTACGTTTCGTCATTTGAATAATTAATAGGGCGACGTCTGGAAAAGCGGCATTATTTTTAACTAAATCCTCTTCTTTATCGTTCACGAGGCGATCAAAAAAGGGTCTCCTATGGCCGAATGGAATCAGTTGGACAACCTCCCAAATCACGAGTCCCAAGGAAAACAAGTCAGCTTGTTTGTCGTATTTTTTCGTAAAGGCCTCTGGCGCCATGTAGTCCCTGGTCCCAACCCCACTTGTCAAATTACTGGTTTTGCTCTCGGTCGTATCAATATTTCGACAATGACCAAAATCTCCTATTTTAACCGGTAGTACGAATCCCGCCTTGCAGAACATTACATTTTCTGGTTTAAAGTCGCGGTGAATAATTTCGTTATCGTGTAAATATTCCAAACCGGACGCAAGATTTTTTATGATGGTGGATTGAACTGTAATAAGTTGGCTGTTATCAGGATGTGCTAAATTTAGCCAGCTTCGTAAGTTTTCGCCACATAATTCCATTTGAATTCGAATTACGAAAATTTCTTTGTCTCGTCTTGCTTTGCCGATAAATGTATCCTTAAGTGCTTGTTGTCCTTTGGTGGGCAGACTTTTATCCGGGAATATGGTTTCTAGTTGGGCCAGGGAAAAGTTACCTTCGTCGACTGACAGCGTTTTCACAATGTTGGCGTGGTCTGCAAGTCGTAAGGAAATGGTACACTCACGAGAAATTTGGGTCATACTTTTAGTATCTTCAGGTTCGTTAGATGGAAATATAAACTTCACGGCTGTGGCGGTCTGTGATATGTCGACGGCTTTCATGACGAGGCCAAATGTGCCATGACCCAGGCAGGTTTGATAAAACGATATCTTGTTCTTAGGCGGTGAAGATGAAGAAGCCATATTAGGGATAAGAACAAACCCAAAAGGAAATATTGTGAATAATGCAGTGAAGCAGTAACTTGAGTAGGTCGGAGAGTCAAATAAATGATGCTTAAGTGGCAGTCATATTATCCGGACCACGTAAGAGCAGGACAGAGAGCAGACAAATGTGCAGTAGAAACCGCTTACCGCCCGTAAGAAATACATGGGAGGAGGTTGGCGGTGGTGCACCACAGGCCTCCAATGTATTTCTTACGGGCGGTAAGCGGTTTCTACTGCACATTTGTCAGATTTTGTGCTGGTCTTATGAGGACCGAATAATACCATACCAAATTTATAAACGGGCTGATACCAAAACCCCTGAGATAAGGGAGATAACTCAATATGTTGGGGTTAGACTCGCAGAGAATTTGCTGAACGAGTCCAGTGCAGATAAGTAAGGGTTTGATTATAAGCTTACTTCATCCAATTTAAGTTGGATATGCATGTACATATATATGTAAATGTGTACGTGTGTGTGCATTTACACAAGAGAATTTGATCAGTTTGTTGAATATTTTAGATATGGTATACATACATACGTAAGTGAGGACCCCGTCTCATTTTGCAATAGCCAATCAAGCCCGGATGCAAACGAATGTGTATAAAACATACTGTTCAAAAATATGTACGTTAATACGTGAGTAATCTATATACCTAATTTTCACTACGGGTCACCCGTATTTAAATAGTTAAATGCATATTTAAACAAATGCATAATGTTTATCTGATAAACATCAAAAATATTTTTGATTTATGTAAATACAGGTTATTAATTTATTTAAAATTTAAATCATTCTCAAATTTTTATTCATAATATGTAGTTGATGTGATGACATGAAGGTATGTATATATTTAAGTACCATTTAAATATATTGCATAATATTAGGTAAGATAAGATATTAAATTGTTGACGTGTGGACGTTCAAATTTAATAATTAGAATAAATACATAATTATAAATATAATTAAAGTTTTAGCCTAATTCAATTCAGACAAATTTACAAATTTTTACATTTTTTTTAAACTATTTAATTATTATCCAAACTCCATTATACATATAACGCAACCAAGAATATGAATTAAACCTCATGTTGCTCTATGGTGAAAGTGCATATTTCAAACTCAAACCTAATGAATAGTCATTGATAATTATGTAAACATGTATAACCTGACTAATTAAGGATTTATACTATGATAGACAATTTCATTATATGAAATTGTGTACATCATTTCATTTATAATGATAAATAAATGAGTTTGATTAATTATGTAGTTACGTACTCTCTAATTACTCGATTAAAACCTACTCAAAAGTTGAGTAAAATATACAGTGAAACAACTTGTGTAAGCTTCATCCTATTAAAATTAATCCAAAGTTGTAGAATGTTCAGTAAATTTTACAGAGGACGTTGTGTCATTGCAAATTTTACTCAACTTTATTTAGAGTGTAATAATAAGTTAAATTACCAGATTATCCTCAAAATTACGTCAAATGTAATTTACCCTCACCACCGACCAAATGCAGGATAAAGATTGGTACATACAACATGGACGCACAATATGTAGGCGTCACAGAAGATGCTTTAGTCATTAATGTTTCGACAATATGTCACAATGTGGTAGGTTTGTATTGGCATCCTATCCACGTTTGACAGTAAAACGTTTTAAGTCAGTCAGAAGGATTTTGCCCTAAATTACTAATTTATTTACTATAATCCTCCCAACCCTTTGTATACTCTGTACGCCTCGCTTCACGGTAATCCTCGTCAAAAATACATACTTGACGGGATACTTGATCTAGCGTGGCTGCATCTGCCGTACTTCACTCGAATGCATGACGTAGGAACCCAGTATGCGCTGCCTAATCACCCCATTAATGGGTACATATATGAGGACTTTGTCCAAGCTTTTCTGCTTGTCATATACATCTAACTGTACTCGGCCGTCCAAAAATTCATGATTGCTGATTAGACTGCGGTCACCGCGGTCTAATAAGACTGGATACGGGTCGACCGGTGTCCCGCAGAGGGAGCAATTCACGCGGAGAAACGTTAAGCAGTGCCTCAAGCTGGGCATCGTTTTAAATTTCAATTAGATCAGGGGCACATGGGTAATCAACATTGTCAGATCATGCACGAATTAATGCACCACATGCTTCCGTCAGTATCGATACCCTCTGAACAAAAAGGAGCAAATTCCAGCGTGGAAAATTTCACACCTACCACGGTCAAATGTTCCACCCACCACCAGACTAACTTCACCCCCATCAAGCGATCCGTTAGCTACATAGATACACGGATCGATTATCCCTTAACTTTGACGGATTCGCCTTTATCAATTGTTAATTATATTAGTCGCCAACATCGCCGCTTTTTACGGCTTACTTTTCGTCCTGCCTCATTGGAAAAAGATGCAGTTAATATTGTTTTAAAACAATTACCAGAAAATTCTCGCCCTCCGTTGTTGAGCGTTTTTCCTTTTAATATTGAACCCACAACGTTTCTTGCTTTATTAACCGTAATGACTCAAGCCATCAGTGAACAATTGGAGGTAGATTTACATGGTCGGACCTGCAGGAGTGGGAACGGCGGTCGAACCAGGTGTAACATTACGACGACCTCCCCTGTTCCCCTGATGGATGACGAAGATAATATTATTTCCTGAATTTTTTTAAATTCTCATTAATTCATTAAAGAGAAATTCTTGCCCATAAAATTACTACGTATATGAATTGATATTTTATATCCATAACTTTTCGTAATACATTTTCAAAATATATTTAACAACTAATTTTGTCTCTTATTAATTAATTAGCACAAAACAATTGTTATCGTATGGTATTACCACAACCATTATAAATCAGTAATATTTCAAAATTTTGATGGAACTCTTGTCTCATTCAAAATTTGTAATTTTTGTTTACATCGGTCACAAATAGGCCAGGATTTAACAGAGGTTAGCTTCTATTAAATCCAAAATTATTAACCCCATATTTGGCCTTTTGGCACTTCCACTAAAAAGTAGGTACCTAACATTATTTGTAACCTGTTGACGATATTTTAACAGTTTCAACTTAAATATAGTCACTTCTAGGGTTGCCGCGGGTAGCGAAAATGCTACCCGTTACCCGACCCGTTACCTGCAGCACAACTACCCGTACCCGCACGGGTACCCGTGCGGGTACCCGTTGCCCGTTACCCATTATGAGAATTAAGTGAAAAACTAAACAACTTCCTAAATAAATTTTATTTAATCAATTATTTGCTTATTTGGGTTATTCAGTAGTTTGAGATAGCGCTGTGCAAGTAACGAATGCCGTAATTTGCTAGATTTCATTCGATTTTTCTGAAACCAAACTTTTTGGTTTACAATGGAACATTTTTCAAGCTATACCGGAATTTCTTAGCGAATTATATAAAACAATCAAGCCAAAAATTAGGAATTATCGCTTATCTTTCCGTTGAATAACACCGTTTAAAGAAAACTATTGGGGGATTGGAAGTCTACCATGTTGTCGTCCAGTCAAGGAAAAAAGATGCAAACATTTACTTAAAAATTGAACTTTGCCGCCAATACTTTGTCGCAAAGTAGACATTGAACGGATAGTATCACGCGATAGTATCACGCGATTCCTAATTTTTGGCTTGACTTTTTGATATATTCATTAGACAATCTTGGTGTAGCTTGGAAAAAGGTTCACTTTTTAGTTTGATTTTTTAAAATTTTGATTTAAATGAAGTTTCCATTGAAAAAAATCATCTACGAATAAAACTTTTGGCTTTAATCGGATTGAGATGATTTTTCATCACAACAAATTAAAATATCATCAGTCTTACATAAATACACACAAATACAACACAAATTAGTTCTTATATTTTAGAGCTGGCAGATTATGCTTGAGAAACAATAATTTTTCCGCATTTCCGGGACTTGAAAAACATTTGAGGTTGTCATTGGCTTCCAAAAAGACACCCTCACCATAAACGCTAGTTGCTTGCAAATGGCGAATGACAAATTATGAAATAAATAAACCGTTACAACGCATGTAACCAAGGGGTGAAAGGAGTGTCATACGTCAATGTGAATATCAAATTGTCTTATTTGTGTCAAATTTAACAGTTGATAACCCTTATGTGACCTTTTTATGACCTCTCAGGTCAAAATGGAGGTCACCAATGAATTCGGGGTTAAATTTCAGTTGAAATTGAAATAGATATGTCCTATGACCTTTACATGACCTCTGAGGTCAAAATGGAGGTCACCATTGAATTTGACATTGAAAAATAGTTAAAAATGACGTGTCACATGTCAAAACTGACAAGTGACACTTTTTCGTCACTTTTCGTCACTGTGACGATGTCATCGTCACAGGTGACGTCCAACCGCAAAATGAGCTGAATTTTCGAATTCCTCATTGAAAAATAGTTAAAAATGATGTGTCACATGTCAAAACTGACACGTGACACTTTTTCGTCACTTTTCGTCACTGTGACGACGTCATCGCCACAGGTGACGATGTCACAGTGTCCATCTTCGAACTCGTCCTGTCCATTGACGTTAGGAGTTTACGTTCAAAATTTCAAGTGTCTATGTCTTTTCGTTCAAAAGTTATCGGAGCTACGGACAGACAGACGGACGGACGGACGGACGGACAGACAGACGGACATAACGATCTTATAAAGGGCTTTCACCCCTTAATAATAAATTGACGCTTTGTTGGTAAATGGACTAATTTGCTGTTAACTTTCTTTGTGAACTGGATTATGTGGAAAATTAAATAAAAACTGAACTACCCGTTACCCGTGCGGTTAGTTCCAGCTACCCGCAGATAACGGGTACCCGCAAGAATCGTGCGGGTATGCGGGTAACGGGTACCCGACCCGTTACCCGCGGCAACCCTAGTCACTTCATATTTTTGGAACATACAACAAAAATTTGGTACCCACAAATTTGTCACAATACCCGAAATTACGCATCATAATAATGACGTAATTGAGAACTCCACACACACCACTGAGCTGTCGTGTGCAAATAATATTATTAGCCAACTTCCACCCGGATAAAAAGAGCAACACGGGCAGTTGGAGAGAGATTGTATGGGAGATCAGGAGGAGAGAACAGCGACGACTGAGTCGGATAATTAAGGCTTAGCTTGTAAACTAGCTTTAGATAGGTTTAGATTAAAAGTAGTCTATTTGGTGAAAGCATTGAATAAATGAATTGACTAAATAGACAAACCAGTGTTACAAAGTGAACCTTATTACCCAGACCCTAAAGGTCTGCAACACAAGTGGTGCCTCTTCGGTTTTCCAGCGACCACCCCACACTTAGTTAATACATATTTCAGTCTAAAATAAATAACAAAAATTCAACTCGTTGTTGCTCTCCCACCACCACCGCAACTTGTGCAATTATTTCGTCGCATCGTTCTGCCAACTTACCGACTTTCGACTACCATAAGTGTACAAGTGCCAACGTCAATAATTTGTTGGATCGTTCTGCAAAAATTCGCATGTTCGGACAACACCAAGTGTAGAAGTGTCACAGTGACAATAATCATCACCGAATTTTTCTCGTCCCCCTGTGACAGGATTACGTTGCTGAGGATCGACTCCTAATAATTGGTCAGAGTGTTATAAAATTTTTATCCAATGGCTACTCTTTTGCATTTGTTACACCTTAACCAGCCTATTTTATCTGAATCTCCGTTATCCATTTTAGCATTTAGATATTTTCCAACAATTCACCTGCTATCGTCAGAATTGCATAACCTCAGCGGATTTGGAGGCTCAAGCTGTAATGATAATTTTAGAACAACTAACTGCTTTGCAACCACACCCCTTCTTACATTTTTTACCTCTTAGCGAAACTCCCCTAACTTTTCTTGAGCTACTTACTCGAGTCTATATATCTCACGCCGATAGCTTTCCTGTTTTTTTTTCGTCAGCATGATGTTAATAATGCAGGGTTCGCCCGGATTTTCATCCCAGAAATTTTTGTTTTCATTTAATAACTAGGGTTTGTTATGCTATCCAAAACGTGCATGCAGGTCTAAATCATAAATAATTCTCCCTCCTCTCAAATAATTGGACCATTTATTCCATTCAAATTACCAAAACTGGTTCGGTTTGCGTCATGGTAATACCTACTTGTTTTCTTTCACAACCGTCTTGACTAATATTTGCTATTTTGAGCTTCACCAAAAATTTTGGCTCGAGTAACAAATTGTCCTTGGCTACTCGAGTGGTAAAAATTTTTTATTTCCCTTATGTCCCATTTTGGGCACGTCATCTTTTAATCGTTTGCAGAGTTTGGTTTTCGCGTACCTAGTTGAAATTCTCACCCGGCGGTGGCTGCGCTATTTGGGGTGCAAAATTTCAGGGCCTGCAAATTTGTTTGGCAGGTGTTCAAATCAGTGCTTAGTTATCTTCTAATTTAAAAAGAAAATAAAAATATTTCTGACTTCTTCTAACCATATCAGGACATCGGGCATTTTGCCAGGTTTAAAATAATATTGATGCAGTAGTTACGGCACTGTGACTTCTTATAAATACAACTTTAGTAGAGTTTTACCCTCTTTCCGCGACCCCGGACTTCTTCATCTCTGCTCTTGAGCTCCAACCATAAGAACTCTTCACATCACACTTCTGGCCTAAAACCAGGCTGATGATGTATGAACATAATTTTTTGTGTCACCCTTAATGTTAACTTTGGGGTATAAATTTTTTGGGAATTTTTGACCCCACTCCGAACCCTTTAGCTTCAAAATTGACGGAGTTCCAATTTTTATTTCATGCCCGGCAAGGGTAATTGTCCAAAAGCTTCCCTTTGTCTCATATGCATAGTTTACATACACGGTGCTGTTATATCCACGTCTCATCCACGTCATTGGACAATATGCATGTCCGACTCGTCAGACACAACTTGTACCAACTTTCACTCATTTTAGGGGAATTCGTTCGCAAACCAAAGGGAAAAAATTAGTGCATTCAATTCAGGATCCTCTTTTGATCGAAAGACAACTTCAGCGTCCTAGTCGATTGGCTTCTGGCCTTCGCTCCCTTTTTTGAATAGCCACTCCCACTACCAGCAGCGAGCCTATTCAGGTTTGGGTGGGTGTAGTCTCTTCGCCGGTTGAAAGGATGAGACTTCTGCTTTCCTCCGAGAAATGGTGCAAATAATGTGTGCACAACAAATGACGATCTCTTTAATGCAACGCCAATTTATTGTCACAATTTAACTCACTAATTATTACACCAATTGTCCACTATTAGGACCACTGTCTCAGCAGTAAGTCTGCTCTGTTCCTATTCTAAACTACGACTCTTTTCTACCTCTTGTTAACCTTTACTCAAATCCAAGGTTAATTGTTCATTGCCTTTCTTTCTCTTGCCAACTCACCACCAACGCGAATCAAAAATAGTGGGGCGACTTAAGACACAAAAAAGAGAGATTTTCATGCATGAAAAGCTTATATTACGCAAAACCCTTCAAGGGTGGTTTTCTGTGCCCACCGCGGGTAATCCAAGTGAGTCAAGTACCAGTTGGTCATCAGGTCAGTCCAACGAATTATTTCCTTCATTAAAAACTAGCCTTCCTCCCATTACCGACCCACTACTCCCTACAGGGGAAGTACATAGCCCTGTACCGCCAATTCGAAAAGGTCGACGGAAATTAACTTTGGGTCCTTCAGTTCAGCCTTCCGCCCCACCAGAGTGGGTAAATCCACCTGAATATTCGACATTACCCACCTCTCGGGATTTTTCTTCTTCTGTGGCGCATCCTTTTCAATTTCAAGTACCCACTTTTTCCCGGAACAATTCTGTAGAATTTACATCTAAACCACTCCCTTCAAAGAAAAAACAACCTTTCTTAGTTACACTTCCAGAAGAGGTTTTATTTAACCCAGAGGAGGAAGAGGCTTTCCTTAACCCTGCGGAGGAAGAGGCTCCTCAACCTGTAGCCAATCCTGCACCTTATTTCCCCTTTTGTCCTGACATTCATTTTAAAGTAATAGAAATCAAGTCAACCGATCTTGCTGAGCCTCCACAGCTTGTCGAAACTGAACAAGTGATTAAACGCGAGTTTATCTTCAATACACCTTTACGAACTCCATCTTCATCTCGACGACAAATTACAGGCAGCAAAGGTTCGGTTAAAAAGGAAGTTAAGGTAGACCCAAGCCCTGCAGACTCGCCGGTCAGTCGGCCTGAAAGTAGTCGGCCTGTTCATCGGCCATCACTTGGTTTATTTGAGCAAGCCTTCAAGACCCTTAAGGAGCATACTTGGTGGAAACCACCTCCTGTTACTAGCACAGTAGTCCAACCCGCTTCTCCAATTACTTGGCATACTCCGACATCTTCAAAGGCCTCAGGCACTAAGTCCACTTCAAAGGCATCAGGCTTTAAGTCCCCTTCAAAGGCGTCAGGCTCTACGTCCCCTTCTAAGGCAACAACTCCCCCACCGCGTCCGCCTACTCCACCACCGCGTCCACTTACACCACCCCCACTCATAGTATCAAAAATTTTTGCTAAAAAGAAACGTACTACTATAGCCATTCCAGCCACAATGACCAACCCTACACACTACCTTCCACCATTTTCCCAAATTGATGTGCAGTTTGATGGTCGTACATCAATCAAGGAGTTCCTCCAAAGATACGAACTGTTAGCTATTTCGTACGGCTGGTCCGAGGCGGACAAATTAAGATTTTTCCCGTAATACCTTCGTGACGGGGCGAAGGCGTGGTATGACATGTATCGCCACGCACAGGCTAAACTTTTAACAAAAACCTACATGGATGTCGACTTAGTATGGGCCAATCTCAAAACTGAGATAGAAGCTGCCTACGCTATAACTGAAACACAGGAAAACATAGCATTGCGGCTCAAAGAGGTCACTTATCAGAAGTGTGGATCCGCCCTTAGCTATGTATATGCAGTTTTATCCCTGTTACAAAGAATGGATGCTGGAATGACCGTAGAAAAGCGAATTAAGTATCTACTAAAGGGTCTACCCCCTGACCTTGCGGTAAAAGTTTATGACCAACGGCCGAAGACCGATATGGAGGTAAAAGATATCCTCCTCCACCATGAAAAATTTCTGGCGATGTATCCCCAAAAATCAAATCAACTTCAAAAAGATGTAGCCGGTTCAAATTGGCCAGAATTAGAAAACACATTAAAGAATCTACAACTCCAATCGGAAAATACCTACATGGCAAAGTCAAACCCTACTGACTTTTCACCAAACCGAAATGGTTCGTTCATGACACCCAACCGAAGCGGTTATTTCAATACACCCAACCGTAGCGGTTTTGATTCACCAAACCCTACTGGTTACTTCAATTAACCCAGCCGGAGTGGTTATACACCAAACCGAAATGGTCAAAACACATCACCAAACCCAAATGGTTACCAAAATACCCCAAATTCATACAACCCACAATTGGCTATCAATGCATACTCAGCTTCTCATGAACCTTCGACGGGAGGAGAAGGAACTGGTAGGTATTTCACTCGACGGGGAGATAAACCATATTCAATCCCTAACCCAAATGTCATAACCGCTAACCCTGATGGTGATCAGTCACTGTTTAAATTCATCAGGCAATATCGCGATGAACAAGGCAGGCCAATATGCTGGCGATGTGGCGAAAATGGTCACGATAAATTAGATTGTCCTCAACGAAAACGATTAATGGCAAGGGCAAAGAATCTGATGGGCACTCAAAGTGGCAAGCCCCAGGAAAACTAGGTCTACCCATGGTAAACGAGGATACCATGGGTCCTTTAACTGAACACCTCGGTTATTATAATTTAGCTACTATAGATCCCTTCTTAGCCTTTATTAAGCTAAAAATTAAAATAAAAAATTCACCTGACTTAGAAATTTCTACATTAATCGACACTGGAAGCTCCATTTCAGTTTGTTCACCTGAAATGGCAACGAGATTTAAAATCATGCCCTGCAACTCTTTTAAAATAATAGGAGTAACAGGAGCTAACACCATAAATCAATTTATCCGAATCGAAATTCAATTATCAAATAAGATTATTACTCATAAGGTTTTTCTGGCCCCAAATTTGACCAGATCCTTAATTCTAGGGAATGATCTACTACATATTCAGAAATGTTTAATAAACAAAAGGAAGTCAAGATATGCACACAAAGTTTTCTTCTCTACTTATCTGAAAACGAACTAGCTAGTGATAAAATCACAACAAATGAATTAAATCATATAAATTTAACAGACAATGAGGAAATGGAAATCCCTGAAATTCCAGTTGTTGTCACAGAAACAATTATTTTAAACTCTCCTGGATATGCATCTCTTCCAGTGACTGTAGACTTACAACAAATATTTCAACCTTCTTCAAATTTTGTTTTGAATGGGATCCAAACTTCTTAAACGCACACAGTGTTTACGGCCCCGGATTTGTAGTTAAACCAGAAGAACTAACAAATATAATTTTGACATCTTTGGGTCCTCCAGTAACTCCAGTTTAATAAAAACACACGAGTTGGTTATCTTTCTCCAGCTCAAGAAATATTCTACTTTGAACCAAATCATTCACACTCACCTTTAAAACACAATAATAGACCAAGTCATATGACTCAAGCACAACTTGATCAAATAAAATTAGCCTCAGATCTTGATCCAGCACAAATCACAGAACTTAAAAACTTAATCTCGGAATACGCTGATATTTTTTGCTGGGACAGTGTGAATCTGTCCGACTTGGGGCGTTACAACGGACCGTTTGAAAAAGACTCCGATGGGGTTCGTTTGTTTGTTAAAGATCATAGCCCTATTTTTCAAAAACATTATAATATGTCAATGTTTGAACGCAAATTTCTTCAGAAACATATGCACAAACATAACCAAGAATGGGGTTATTATTTACCCAGTGTTATATTTGCCATAAATAAAGCAATTAACGAATCCACCAAATTATCCCCTTATTTTTTATTAATGGGAAGACATCCCCGATTGCCTGGCGAATTAGGACTTTCACTTCCGAATTTCCCAGATACTTATTTAGATGATCTTAATAGAGCACGAGAAGCAGTGCGTAATCAATTATTATTGGCTCAAGAATCCTCACGAGCATCCTTTGAAAAACGTCATAAGATTCAAACTTTCAATCCAGGCGATTTTGTAATGTTGTTCTATCCCAATTTACATAAGGATCAATCGAAAAAACTATCACCCCAATTTAGAGGCCCGTATCGAATTTTAGAAAAGAAAACTGATCAAAACTATAGAATAGCACAGCTTGAACCCCCCTTCGCTACAGATATTGTCCATCTTAAAAGATTACGATCAATCTCAGCGCGATATGAACATTTATCTACTTACGATCCAGCACAATTTCAGAATCAATTTTTACAAGAATCAATTCCGAACTCTTCTAAATTGAAAGAAGTAATTTTACAAAATAATGATCAAGTGACTGCTACAACTCGTTCAGGTCGAGCTATTAAACTCCCTAAACGGTTTCAAAATGCTGGAGGATCTTAATTTTCTTCGTCTTTATAAAAATTTAACCCACAATTAATCGCTCTTTTCTTTTAGTTATGACATTATTCTACATTTTCCTCATAATATTGGTTGGAGCTCATGGGGAGGAACTACCCGCCAGGGTCCATGTCCTTTCCGGGGTCTTCACCAAACCCGTTCCAGATACTGTAATCACCTATGAAGATACAACTTCAATCCTCTTTAAGGTAAAATTCGATTTTACCCCGCCACAGAATTACTTTATCCAAGATTTAAGAGACCACTGTCCTCCGGATTTCGGCCGGGGCTCGTTGAGTCCTATTTGTATGATGGGACCTTACGTAACCGGAAATTTTCAAGCCGTTACTAACCGTTTAAATTTAATGTGCCAATCCTTAACGGCACTAAAACCAATTATTCCGCACATGGAAACAATTTCCACAGTAATTTCCAAGAATAAACGTTACCCTGAGTATCATCCCGTTCAAATTAACCCGGTTTTAACGGAAGATTTAGATTTAAGTCAGGAAACTAAGAACGAATTTATCACGACTCAAACCACTACTACTCCAAAACCTTTGGTTCAGGGAGATCCTTCTGACCCCCGGACCCGTTTTCAAATAGAGCACGACGAGTTGGTTCGCCGAACTCTCATGCAAACTAGACCCCCACTCAATCAAATGCAAATCCATATCCCTCCTCCTACCACGGCTTTACCACCACCACCAACTTTGACCAGGAGGTTGCCAGATTTCGAAATTCTGAGGGTTTCTCACGTCAGGGAAGAAGTATAATGTGGGAGAATTTCCATAATACTAACAATACTCGAACCAAGCGTCAGGCTGCTCTGGCAGCATTGGCGGTAGGATGGGTAAGTGCCCAACTGTATAATTATATTGACCCTCCGTCTGCTGCCACCGACTTCTCAAAACAATACGATCACTTGCAGAATAGCATCGACATAAATTCTCGAAATGCTATTCGGCTTGCTAATACAATAACCAATCAAAATCACATGATAGGTTCGGGGTTCTTAAATATTTCGTCATATTTGGGAACCCGAATCAAACAAAATAATAAGATAGAGGACATGCAAAAAAGCATGCAAGAAGGTGCTTTACGGAGTTTTCTTTTCCAGGCTCGTATGTCAGAAGATATTTATCGATCTTTAGAATTGTTTCAGTATGCGAGTATCCAATCGGCCTGCATGACTGGTCGTTTGTCGCTACAAGCCGTAGACTATGTTACCCTTAATCAGGAACTATTAACGTTAAGAACCATATTAAACAAAAATAATATGACGCTAGTCATCCCTCAAGAAAGGCTATCCTCATATTACCATTATGAACTCACACGATGCTCGTTTAAGCCAGAACAAGGAATTATAGAGATTCAGTTAAATATACCTATTAAACCATTACATGAGCAGGTGGATATTACCGAAATTTTTAGTATTCCCTTTTTCCATAAAACAGATTTGGGAGAACCCCAAATATGTTTTGTGCAGCATAGTCATGACTTCGTAATACTTAAGAATGATATGCCTTTTCCCATCAGTATGGCCGACACCAGCCACTGTAGAATTTCTGATGGTATTTGTCAGTACTTTTCCTTAGCAACGCGAGCTACAAGTCATGCTGGGTGCGTCAAGGCCTTGTTGGCTCCGCAGGGTACTCGTTTTGATGTGCTACATCAAGCTTGTCCATTTAGTTGTAGATTAACAAACTCAGCTGAAGTTCTGGTTACCAAATTAGGTTGGCACAATTCGTTGTTTCGCTATGCCATTACGCAACCTCCTCTAAATTCAGAAATTATTTGTAACAATAACTCCACCCTACGGAATTTTGAACTACTTCAACCCAATACTACCTCACCCTACGGTGTAATTATAGTGGAAATCCCTTGTAGTTGTTACATAAATTTAAATGACAAGCATTCAACGGTCGTACCACCTTTTCCTTGTCTTAATGGACAAACAGATAAGAACACTTTCAAAACCCCTCAACTAAATCTAATTATCCCCAGTCGCTGGAGCAAGATAAATGTCGCCGAACTTACCAAAGCTAATAATTATAATCAGAAATTATACCTCACCGAGGGATATTCAAATTTATCAGATATTTATAATGAAAAATGGTTTGAAAAGGACATTGTTCTTAATCTTACTCAACCAGGGGTCCGAGATTTTAACTCGTTTCAACAATATGTTTTGGACTAT